AGTGTCAGGTAATAACTAACTAACCTTTTTTCATCTAGTAAATAAACAATTTCCTCAATCCATCCTTATATACTCAAGTGTTGGTTTGTAGGGATTTGATTGATTTCAGGATTTCATCATGAGGTGACATTAGTTAGAGAACCACTGGAAAACCTGGGAGTACTGGATAGTTGTTTCGTCCTAGTTTGGGACTCTTCAGCAGTACGCACCCACCGGGATTCGAACCCAGGACCTTCCGGTTACAAGGCGAGCTCGTATACCATTAAGCCACTGGAACCCGATCCAATGGCCAGTGCATGAATTCTAACTTCTGCCAATTCACGACATAGCGCGACCGCTAGCCAATGTCTTCGGCGAGTATTTGTCCTCACACCCGACCAGCTGCACCCTACTGGTCACGATTTCCCACTTCCCGGGTTCGAATCCCGGTGGGTGCGTACTGCTGAAGAGTCCCAAACTAGGACGAAACAGCTGTCCAGTACTCCCAGGTTTTCCAACGGTTCTCTAACTAATGTCAGCTCATGATGACATCCTTATATACCTTGAAGTTTCGCTTTTATTATTTCTATTATATTTATGGTCAGTCCTGTTGCTTCTTTGTTTTACTCTGATAATTGCAAACACTAACTTATCTCCATGACTGCTGTAATCTTTGTTTTTCCCCTCACCATATCATGTAAAGAGAACATTATATTCAATATTTTTAAATATGTTAGGTTTTCTAAACGACATTGCCAATTCTGTGTGAAAAAAGCCCACGGCAATTTTCACTTTTTTTTTATTTACAGCTTGATTCCACACCGTATTTATTTGGTACAAGTATGGAATTTTCAGCGTGGATATCGGTAGTCCAAAATTCGCAGGCCGACCATAGATATCATGTGTGCGTCGGCGTAGGCTCGAACCCCGGACCATGTGCATGGTAGGCGAGGATCCTAACCACTGTGCCACCGACGCAACATTACCTCTATTGAATATGTGGAAAATGTTCCGTGTGATTATTTTAATTATAATTTAAGGAAATTAGATGCGATATTGAGATTAATGGTGAAAATTCCATTCTGTATCACAAGTACTGTTTTTGGAATAAAGTAAATCATTATTATTATTGCATAATGATTTACTACAGTAATATTAATGTGATGCGTTTAAAATGACCACACGATGTCATTACACGACTCAAATGGCTTACGTGAACCTTTTATTACAGAGAATTATATAAGTATTAGTGCTTCAGAGTGTTAGTAAAATTTATTATATTTATTCGCTTTGAATAATTATGTTCGCATATAGTTCCAGTTAATGAGACATTCTTAAACAACTATACCACATCTAGTTGCGGCATGATTTCTTTAGAGATATTGACGGATTGGATAAAATCAAAAACCTCAAAAGAATCTTGGAGTGAGAGATTAGATACTTGTCCACTGGTTTGTCCCATTAGGTTAATTAACCATTGAGTAAATTCAATGATTAGTTGGATTCGTCCTGTCCAGAATATGCTTTCTGAGCAGTCTATAGTGTCAGCTTACATTTAAGCCAGATGGTCTTGGAAATCGGAACATGTCACCATTAATAAGTGATTCAGTCCTCAGCTTTCTATCTGTTATTATCACCTATTCTGAACTCGGGCGTAGTTCAATTTTTCGTCGAATCCTACATAATCCCTTCAGGTCGAATACGTGAATGAATTTACTTATTTCATTTCATTCCAATTTCTACCCGATTGATGCTTTCTTCATTGAACGATCATTATCGTATTCTGCAATTCTAATGACTGACATCTTTGGAACTATCCGTTTTATTTCTCAAAGAACTTACTATGTATATATACATATATATGCGACTGTACAGCTTGAGAGTAATGTCGCTGAGCCAAGCATTTCTTCACTGAAAACCTCTTTTTATACGATTTTCAGGTTTGTTCTTACAGTTTTCATTGTATTTATTTTGGCACAATTCTCAGTTGCGTGATTATATTCTCCAGGCAAGACATTTTCTCTGACATTTTCGAATAGTCCATTATTTCACAAGCATAAATCAAGATACTTAAATGCTAACACTTGAAACGGATAACTACAATGTGAATAATATCCTGGAAAAGTATCTCAGCGTTAGCAGGCTCAGTACCTTAAATTTTCTGCAGCAAGAGCTACACACAATTTGCTGTATTTTATATTTTTTAAAGGGTATTTTCAAATTGTGGGGAAATAAACCAACATATGAGATGCGACTTCTCTACAGCTGTAACAACAGAAGACAAGGGCCAGGCAACAGATCGTTTTATTATGAAAATCAACACGTATTTATACATATTTCACATACATTATTATAGCTTATGCAAGTAGACAAGCGCAGTCATCTGATTGGTTGTTTATCAGAAGTTAGGCAGACAAACGCAGGCTTCTGATTGGTTGTTTCGGGATTCCTCGACAAATAGAGTTCTCTATCTGCGAATCATATTTTGCCACGTTAACTTTGCTGTGATTGGTTGTTGAATCAGCCTTGCTCATATTTTCTCACGGCCTGCTCTCACCACACTCGTCCCCCCGGCAAATACGTGCGACTGAAGTCGGCTTGATCTACTTGGTGCAGGAGTCATCGTTGGCTTGTCTCGCTGTATCCATTTCTGGAGCTCGCTGACGTTCACGCGCCTCTCATTGTTCGTCATTGCGATTGTGTCCGCATAATCTCATCTCGAAGTGACCATATGTGGTCCTTCCCACTTTGGAAACTGTTCGCCTGACCCTGTCGAACATTCGTCGGTATTTCGGCTCACACTTTCATATGCTGCTTTCGCCCGACCTCCCAGCAGCGTCCCAAGTAGCAGCTCCATCGCTGACAGATCTTGAACGCCACTCAACTGCGCAGAAGCCTTGAAGTCCTGCCCGAAGATCCATATGTCTCCATCAAAAACTGCAGGGTATAGGCTTTTCATTTGTCGGTAGGCAGCGACACCAAATGTAACAACAGAAGACAAGGGCCAGGCAACAGATCGTTTTATTATGAAAATCAACACGTATTTATACATATTTCACATACATTATTATAGCTTATGCAAGTAGACAAGCGCAGTCATCTGATTGGTTGTTTATCAGAAGTTAGGCAGACAAACGCAGGCTTCTGATTGGTTGTTTCGGGATTCCTCGACAAATAGAGTTCTATATCTGCGAATCATATTTTGCCACGTTAACTTTGCTGTGATTGGTTGTTGAATCAGCCTTGCTCATATTTTCTCACGGCCTGCTCTCACCACACAGCAACTATTCATTCAGCAAAGAAGTCGAATTCGCACTATTCATGATACATTTTTGAAGATTGTGTGCGTTCACACAATATGTCAGTATTGCTTCCAACCAAGAACGTGAGATTTTCGGAAAATACAGTGCTCATTGGTGTACATTTAGAATACAGTTCATTGCTATCAGGCATGTCTTTGTACTTGAAATCTTATTCAGATCACTCTTCTACTACATGGATGCTTTTTCTCTTGTCTTGATCAAATTCACTGTATGAATTATGATCCTAATAATCACTCGGTACAATCTGAGTCAATTTCACCCCAGGGAAACTCAAGAACTACCCTCTGAATGTTATCGAAAATTTTCTAAATTCCTTTCATCCTGAATGCTGATGATATACTTATATTTTTATTGAAGAAAGTGAGGCAATGCGCATCTTGTAGAGATCCATCAAAACCCATCCAGACGTTATTTAACCAAAAATGTCTCCGGTTGATGGCTGTTCTCGTGACCATCATATCGAAGAATATACATACTGAAACTAACAGAAGCTAAATAATATGTTCATTTTCTGGGTTTATAACCCCTACCATTGAATCTACCGTGGTAAAGTTGTTTCATCAGACATAATACTCAGCGAATAATACTGCAATATTCGTTACCTAGTGAACGCTAACCGATTTTCTATGAACATTTTCAAAAAGCACATCAAAATATAAAGCAAAAGTCCATTGTGCTCACAGTTCCTGAAACATCAGTATTTCTAGTTTGAGTAAGCTGAATATATTGCGCAGCACGCATCTTCCAATTTCACACTTCTCATAGGTTATCCTGTTCGGTTGTATTGAAAGTAGTAATCATATTGATTATATACTAATCAACGCACTGATGAACTCAGCGATTGCTGAATTTGTTCATTTGTGTTGAAGGGAATCACACTAATGTCCTTCTGAGTGAAATTGCGTAACATCGCAGTCTCCAAGTTCCCTCAATTTTGCGACGTCTAACAAATTACGTTTTACTTCCGATCACGTAAGAACTGTGTAGATGTTTCTAAAATGACTGCATATATGAGAAAACGATAAATTCATGGCTACTGCACCCTTTTAAACTCAGAATGAATAATAATCAAGTCTTGTTTCATTGGAGACACTCTGACTGAATAACATATTCAAGTACAGGGATACATTTGTACTTTACCAACTAAAGAGTTTCATTATTCTTCATTATTGTTTCATATTTAATATCTAACATAGTAGAAAGAGATGAAATTGTATTACTTTTAACTTTTACTATTCTGATTGTATACAGACGCTGAGACACCGACGAAACAAAGAATGGATAAGTGGAATCCTGCTTTGTGTATTGTCACCACTTCATCCATATATAATGCATTCAGAGACGAAGCAATTAAAATAGTATTGAATTCATTTAAGTCGATTGAATCTTTTATAAACATACTAGAGACATTCATAAATTCATGCATTCGATTTATCTTATCAACAAAAGTTAAAAGACAAAGCCTTCTGTTTACAATATCTGTTAAGATTTTATTGTTTTTTTCTTCAATTTAAAATTAGAATCATTTCAAAGGAGACGATATGCTTAATGAATTACTTTAGGCGTGTACTGACATATAATTGTAGGAAATTATTGAGACCGACACAACAGCTTTTGAAGTCCAAAGAAAACCATATCTTTCGAAGTTGTGGTTAAATTTGTAAACAAAAATAAGATTCAGTATATAAATTCAAGTAGAGATGGATAGTACTATATCCACAATGAACTTCTTGAAAGAAGTATTCCTACTTATCTGCATTTCTTCCGTAGCTCAAGGAGGGCGTATCAGTAAGTTGAAAATGTGGTATCGTATTTTATTTTTCATGCATAGTGTGACTTATCTATGTGTCTAATATTTTTTAGTCGATTTTAATATTTAGGAAGTTTGTATAAAGACTGTCATAGCTAAACTCTATTAAGAACAATCGAATTTCACAGTATTCATATCCTATGCTGATATAGACATATATATTCAAAGGTAGTCCAAAGTGGAAGAAATTATGCATGGGCCATTTGTAGGATGAAATTAGAAGAAGAAGAGCATAATTTGAAATTCATTTAGGTTTAAACAAAGATTGGTGTTTTCTTTCATGATTGTGCACCTTCGTCACAACTACCTCCCCGTACTACATCTGAAATCCTGTCATCACTGCCTCTTCTACTAGATTCTCAGTTTCCGACTGAAAGTTGTTTGAGTTTATTAGACAGAATACACTTAATCATCCATGAAATTCAGGCGTTCTAGCGTCATTTAGTAGATAAAACTTCTGCTCAACTTCTCAAGTCCAGCAGCCTGTTGAATGACTAAGTCTGACATACTCAGGTCATCACTGCGAAACTTAGTCCTAATTTCATCTTCACTCAGGAAGCCCTGCTTATCTTTCCATTTTAAATTGTTTGAAAGGTGGCATAACCATATAGCTCTTCAATGGGGTCCAGAAATATCCGCAGTAATGCACCACGTGATATTGAGGGGTTTCAGTTTGCTCGAAGGGCATATTATATCAGGCTAAGATCAAGATTCGCCTGTTGTTCCCAGCTCTATACGATGGTGTAATTAAATCAAATTTATCCTGCCGATGGCTGGCCAAATAATAGGCTGGCATTTCTTTGTGAATCGGTGGCATAACATTTCGGACGCTCTCCCACCATTCACATGATCCGTGGTTTGATCGCCTCCCTACTCACGCCTGATATCAGTGGTCGGCCTGTTAAATTTACGCTTCTGATACCACATGCTGAAATTTCCATACTTGCATCAAAAATACTGTGTCGAGTCAAGCTATAATAATATTTTTAGAAAAATAAATACAAAAAATGTAGATTAAGTGAAGTTTGCGTTGTTGAGAAAGTTTTCTTGGCATTAACCACTTGACATGCTTCCGTGACTACAAATGCTCACGAAATACCTATGGATCTTCTCAGTTCGCAACTGCAAATGATATTCCTAAATGATAGAAAGAGATAAAATTATATGTTTTACAATCGTGGTAAACCACAAACTTTGTGTTAGGTATGTAAAGCATTTCTAGAAGTATTTTGCAGAAAATCGCTTATCACCAGCTATATTATTTTGTTTTAACGGCTGATTAATACGATTTCAAATTGTTGCCCTACAGTTTCATCATACTACAGTAAGTAGTAAATTTTTTTGTGAATTACTGTGACTAAGTAAGAAGGTAGTAATTATGGGGTAAAACTCCACTGTGAATAGTATCGATTTGATTGCCTGAATTACTGTAGGTGACTTTGTAAGGTCTTACTAATTAAAAAATGAACACAACTAATTTTACAGTAAGCACAATTTAGCTGGCGCCTTACAGTATTTTTTCATGAACTACCAAAGCGAATTTTGAACATCTGACTGTGGAACTGTCGATGTTTAGGATGTAAGTGAGGAACATGTTTAATAATCTGAAGTTGGATTTTACCCCGAACTGAGTAATCCTAGTAGTTCCTACTACGTCGCTCCTTTTATTCTTGATCAGGTTGACAAATACATATCGATTTTAGCTATCAAGGGCATTTTTAGTGAATGGCAGTTCAGGTGTTTCGGAGAAACTACAGAGATATGAACAATATAAAAGTAAGGCTTCAAAAAATCACTGAAATTATGGTTTTATGTGTCTAACAAAGTTCAGTAAAGTTAGCATTTCGATGATACAATATCACAAAGAGGCTTTGTAAATGTCCGTCTAACTGAAAAGTCATAGGTCCTGCGAATACTTACTTTGAAAGCGGAATCCGAACCTTTAATTTCCACTTTCATTGATATAAGTGTATTCAGTTTGTGATGTTCGGTAGCCGAACCATTATTATTTACTGAAGAGTGTATCTCATGGTGTTCTATGTGTGTTCTAGAGAATAAAGGTGATGAGTTGTCACAAACAGTTGTTAAAAGAAGTTATGCAATAATAATATGAATAGTTTGATGAGTGAGTTTTACTCAAGATGCACATAGAAACAAAGTAGATAATACGAAACTATGTAAGAGATTTAAGTGAATACAAGAATTATAAGCAATTAAGGAACAGGCAAAGAAACAAAATTAAGTCATCTAAATAAAAATAAAAGCTCAAAACAAATCAAAACATTGTTACCATGAGAGTAGAAGTGGTTGAGTAATCTTCTTTTGTATGCACAGCTCCGGTTTTTCCATGTGAATGGCCAGAGCTTCAGCGATGCAAAGGAGACGAAACCGTATTGCCTTTGATATGTTATTCTTGACTCCGTAGATTACTTTGAAGGAGGCGTTCGTTGAAAATGCAATGATCAGTGTTGACCAGGTGTTCAATTATCGCACTCCTTATTGCACCAGTATTGCCTTTTCGCAACCATGCTGGATAATGTTCTTGAATTCTCTTGGACAGGATGCGCGTCGAACGACCGATGTACCTGGCTCCACAGCAGCAGGTGAACTGGTATATGCACATAGAAGTGGCCAGATGCGGGATCTTGTCCTTGAGGCTTCTGCAGATCAGTGGGCGACTGGAGAACACTATTCGTAGCGTTGCTGCAAAGAACGTTCTTCTCAGAGATGATGTGATCCTTCTCTTGAGAATATCGCTTGCTAAATCTCCCTTGAAATCCAAATTCATGTAGATTTTCTTTTTAGGCACAGTTAAAGTTTCGTTTTTCCGAATTATTGGTTTCATATTTTTGTCGATAAATCTTATTGGGTATCCATTTTGGATGAATATTTCTCTCAGAATATCTAATTCTGTTTCCAGAACGTCGGGACTACAGATGCGTCGGATGCGGGTAGCAAGTGATTTAATTAAATTTCGCTTTTTTTGAATGGGCACCCAGCGATAGAAGCTTGTTTGTTGACCATTCCACGTAGGTTTTCTATGGATTGATCTTCTTAGGCTCCCATCAGCTTAATTTTGTTTCTTTGCCTGTTCCTTAATTGCTTATAATTCTTGTATTCACTTAAATCTCTTACATAGTTTCGTATTATCTACTTTGTTTCTATGTGCATCCTGAGTAAAACTCACTCATCAAACTATTCATATTATTATTGCATAACTTCTAGAGAATAGTTTGATATCACAAGTTGATTATTGCGTGCCTGTATCTATGTTGAAATCAATAACTTCTTCCCTAAACCACGAAACTATGAAAAGATAAAAACTGCTTCGTGGTTGTCAGGAAGACCTCACTAAACAAAAATACACTGTATAATCAAATTAGATAAACATCTTAATTAAGACCTGATGATTGATGAAGCAGATTATCCTGATGGCTTCTATACGCATGAAAACTCTCTGATGAAGGTAACATGCTGACACAACGAATGCATACAGTTCGGTAACTTAATATTCACTGCCTTGAAATGTGGGTTCCTATTTCAGCCACACTTGTTAGAAGTCTGTAGATTTCAGCTATGGATGTTTTATCTTAGAGTATAGTTAGTAAGACGACGTTGCTACGACGTTTCAAGACGACAACCGAGAAATTCAGTTATATGACACATATATATATTCATTACACAATGTAATAATGAAATGTATACACAGACTGTTAAAAGTTTGTCATTTTGTCTGGTTCCGTAAACTTTCAACAAGTCATTTTAAAATTCTTGACATCACCTGATAGCAAATAGTTTTTTTTGACTACTTCAAACTCAAAACAATATTGAAGTGAAATATTTTGTAAAACTTTAAAAGCGAAATATGAATACTGAAACCCTATGGGTGGTACTGCAGATGGTAGATTAAAATTATAAAATAAACTAATATTTTCAATAATTGGTTTGTAAGAATCAGATTTGTTTCTTTACAAGTTGATTAAGGATTGATATCTATTACAAAACTATTGAAAACCAGAAAGTAGTGGAGATCTGTTTCCTCCATCCCTATTATTATTATTATTGTATCCTTTAGTTCCTAGAGGAATATAGGGCTTCAGCTGCGCACCTCCATTGACTTCGGTTTTCTAACAACTTTTTCACCCTGCTCCAGGTCTGTCCACATGCTTTCATCTCCTCCTCGCATGACCTCCTCCAAGTCACCCTTGCTCTGACGACCAACTCGCCGCCTCCCTTTCGGGTTCCACTCGAGGGCTTGTCTAGTGATGTCACTTGATGGTTTCCCCAGCGTATGGCCAATCCATCTCCATTTCTTTCTGCCTATTTGTTTCACAATCGGTTCCTGATTGGTTCGCTCCCAGAGATCCCTGTTGCTGATCTTTTCTGGCCATCTGATCTTGAGTATTGAGCGGAGACAGTTGTTAATCAGATGCCATCCTTATTATATATGTGTAAAACTTGGGCATTGTGGTGGTACGTAATTCAATATTAGTTTGTTTATTAGATGCACCACAGAGTGAAACGGTATAATCACTGTAAATAATACTGTTTCACTGTGTGATACATATAATAAACAAACTAATATGAAATTCCTTTATCCCTAGTTTGGAACTCGTCGGCAGTACGTCAGGGTTTGAACCCAGAACCTTCTGCTTACAAAGCAAGTTCGTATATCATTCAGCTACTGGCATCCGATTCAGTGGTCAGTTTATGAATTCTAAATTCCGCCGATTCGTGATTTAACGTGAACAACAGTTAATGTCGTCGGTGAGACATCCGTCCTCATACTTGAATAGATGGACCTGACTGGTTACGACTTCTCACAATAAATCCGAGAATTTCCGACCCCTGGTAAGTCACTAGCGAACATCAGTTTAATTCTAAAGAGTTCCTTTGAACCGTCTATAAGCTTGCTTTGAAATCAAAAAGGTCCCGGGTTCGAACCATAGTGGGTGCGTACTGCCAATGCTTCCCAAACTAGGATGAAATAGCTTTCCCGTATTCCCTGGTCTTCAGTCGTTCTTTGACTGATACCAATCCGTGCTCAAATATAAAAAATAATATTTGTTATAGACAGAAAGTGAAACTTGCTAATCTTCCCCAATTTTATCACTCACTGGTACAAATCTGACATTAATACGGAATGTTTGTTGCTCAGGTGGATGATTTTGATCTAGTTGTGTTCGCTGAGCTTTGTAGTTAAATCAGCCAGCTCAGGAATTACATCTAATATAAATAATGAATGTGTTTCTATTAAGTTTTTCAATGAACATCATAAGCTATGTTGTATGCGAATTGAATTTTCTAAGTAAAACCTCGAACAAGAATGCGACAGTTTATTTTACTACTATTCATTAAACATATATATAAGAAGAGGAAGATAGTGGATGCAAATAAACTACAATTATCAAAAATAAGCGGTCGACATAATTGTTCCATTGAGAATAACTGGAATTGTATGCATTAGAGCGTTCTGAAACAGTGATGAATCTATTATTAGGATTGAAGTTTCCAGAAATCACCAACTATCTGCGGCCTTTGATTCTTAGTTCTACCAGGATTACAGATGAGATTTCATCTGTAATCGGTTCAGTTCAGGTGAATCAACTTTACAGATAAGTGGACTGGTCAACACAGTCGATTTCTCTATCCTTAAAGTAGAAACCTCTGTAAAATGAAATGGGATATACTTCCACATTTGACAGGAGCGAATGGCGTAGAAAATATACTGTGACTTCTGATTAAGGTTTTCAAAAGGCTGTGTTGTCGGCATAGACTTCCTTTGTGAGAATTGAATCCATGTAATGCCGGAGTCTATCAGGATCACATCCACTACTGCATCAATTAAATTAAATTGAAACACAGACATTAGGTACCACTGAATGACACCTCTATTTGTTGTCACTTCTAATGACTACAATTCTTAAGCTCTCAGTGAGCTGTATATGCCGGAGCAGAGTGGTTTGGTTGTTTCCTTCAAAGAAGGACTTTCTCACAGGAAAACTTCTCCAAAAGAACCAAATATTATATTACCGACAATTGATTGTTTTCATGGGTTTTTTCTGATGAGCGCTACTCTATCACCAAGGGTGTTTGAACTTCCAATTTCATATTCTAAGCTGGTTATCTTTCGAATTTCTCAAGATGGTTTAGATTATTTCTCCTAAGTTAGCACTAGGCCAATGGTACTTTATCATGACTCCATGTATTGAGTTACTTCCCTGGCAACCTCATCATCAATTTATCACCAACATCTTGTAAAACATCTGGTTTCAGTTCATTAGTTTTGCCACTTTGTCTGGTTTTAGAATAAAGACAGTTTTCATGACCTTAGTTGTGTTTACAGTATTAATCTCCACGACCCCTACAGGTAGCAGGAAAGCAGTAGTGTTGCGTCCATTTGAACATTTCATCGTCTGTCCTAGGAAGTAAGTAAGGCGCCATGCATCACAGAAATTATTCAAGTTACCGTAAACCTCTTACGAACGATTTTTCTCATCAGTGTCTATTAGTGTTTGACGATTACTAGTAGTGATACTCATGAAGAATAACAATATTTTTCTAGAAAATCATTTTATGACAGAGAAAATTAAGCCTCTACATTATGGCGCACATTTCAGTCCAGTTTTCATCACTTACACCGTTATTTTGCCTCTGACAATTAATCAGACGTTTCATGAGTATCATGATGGAATAGTCAAATTTTTAGAACTTAATCATAGGCCGATGAACTCCTTTGCCTCACCAAGCCAGTAAAGGACTGGCAAAGAGATAAAGCTGGACATGAGGCTAGCAACCCCATACTGTAAAAATAAACATCATTGCTACCGAAACTTCAAGGCTCTAGGTTGAAGTCTTATGTTCCACTGGGTACGTAAAGGAGTAAAAGAAAATCCTCGGCAGTAACTTCGAATGAATGGTGTGAACGTAATTGGTAGATGTATAAGTGACCACCAATTTACTCTGTAATACTAGCTAAGTGAGCGTCATGGATATCACATGTAGCTCAGCTGAAACTTCAGTCAAATGTTAAAATATCTTTTTGTAAATTTTGTTTCATTTCACTGAACAAAATCAACATGAAAATGATAACTTGAAAATACATCTAATTTTTATTATGGTCAGCTAGTAAGTTTTAATTTTCCACATAACACATCATACACAACATAAACAAACAAATAGTCTTACCCGAAAAATCAAGGACAAACATCATCTGGGAGAGGAGGATTTGAAAACATTTATTTCCTGATACGAATTTTAAAAAATGCTATAAAGGGTTATAAAGCAGGATTAAGCAATTAGAAACTTGTTCTGCCTACTTTGTAATTACCGTTTTTATCGCAAACATGGTCCTCACTTTTTCAAAATTTTATTGGATATTTGAAATTAAATAGTGCCTAACGGAAGTAAGTATGGTAGACATTTCGTTCAAAATTTTCACTATAGACTCATGAATTTTGTGACATTAATGATGATTATTTTACGACCGAATAAGGAATGTGACATCATTCAGGCTGTCATATACCTAAAATTTATTGCATCTTAAAACTGTGTTTGACTTGAGGAAGGCTTAATAAAGGATAAAGTTCACAGAGTGACGTTCTCATATATAAGTCCGTCATAGTTACGAGAATGGTCAGAATCTAAAGGAATAAAATAGAATAAACAAGATAGAAATATTTCATTATTCCCAATAAAAATAAGTCTATGAACAATCAGAAATCTTCACGTATTCGGCTGATAGTCGTAGAATGTGGTCAATCACAATTTATTTAAAAGGTTTTCTCACTTATACTTTTGTGAAATCAGCATTTCTTCAATGTGGAAAGAAAACATTAAAAGTCATCGAAAATATTATGTGGAAATCATATCGATATAAAGTGAACATTCGCAAATATTTGATATAGCAGATGAGACAAAACAACAGAACGCTCTCTCGATTTGTGTCGGTCGTACATTAGAATGATAAGAATTATTTCCCTGTATTGTCATATTTTCGGAAGTTCTCTTAGCGTAGTATTTATATTTTGTATTTATTTTCAATCATATGGAAAACGGTTATCCATTTTTCCAAGAATTCACTCGATACAAGGTAGTTGATTTATTACATTTTGCTTATTTCTTGCATTCTTTTAGAAGTAATTTGTAAGTTCATCCGTTCTGTTGCATAATTTTTACGTGATATTTTTAATGTGCCATCTTTAAACAATTGAATGTTCCTGAGCAATCTATTCGAATTAGTAGGATTTAAGCGTGACTGATCAAAAGTGTGGCTTCAGACATCTACATGAAGCTTTGATAAAACGTCAACAAAATTATTTCCCAAAAAACAGTGGATTTTGGTCACTGATTTAAAAGTGATGATTTATCTTGCTTTCCAATCCTCAATTTTATATCTTCATCAATGCAGTCAGTAGTTAAAACTATGCCACCTAAATAAGTGTTAGAAGAAGTCTAATTCATATTTCTCCTGCTGATAGTGATTGGTGTTTATTGTTTTTGAAGGCCTGTTATCTTCAACGTCCTTGCTTTCTCAACATGCATTTGAACTTCTTTCTTTTTGTTTTTGAGTTTGTTAGATATTAGAGTTAAATAGTCCTCAAAGTTAATATCAGTAAAAAGTTTGAGCATTGTGGATTAGATCAAATAAAGTATAATTATATTTTAATAGTTTACACACAATGATAAGTTTTGTTATTGGTAATATTTCGAGGAAAATTACTGCCCGTGTTCACACCACTGTTGGAATTGTTTTATTCACACATTTACGATTTGTACTCATATATATAGTTCATTATTATTATTTTTTCTGTTCATTCATGTGTGACTTTAATGAATATCGATTAAAGTCACACCGGATACATGTAACAAGGGTGACTCAGTACAACTATCAACAACTTGGAATATAATTCTAAATAAAAACACATGAATGAATGTGGAGTATAATTCTGAACACACATATGCACACACAAAACATGAATGAACAAAATAATAATAATGAACTATATATATGAATACAAATCATAAATGTGTGAATAAAACAATTCCAACAGTGGTGTGAACACGGGCAGTAATTTTGCTCGAAATATTACCAATAACAAAACTTATCATTGTGTGTAAACTATTAAAATATAATTATACTTTATTTGATCTAATCCACAATGCTCAAACTTTTTACTGATATTAATTCAACTGACGGTCTTCCCATTAAAAGACTGGCCAACAAACTCACACATTTATATCAAGCTGAATCTCGATTTATGAACCATCGAATTTTCAACATCAGATGCCTTAAAAATGGAATTATTCCTGTATACATGAAATTAAAATCACCAATATCTACTGATAAAGCAAATGCAGCGCTCACACATGCCTCAAAAGTATGCATCAAAGAAAACCTACGTGGAATTATACAAAAGCTATTCACGATAAGGAAAGATATTAATGAAATAAAAGAAAAATTGAAAGAAGTAATCGAAAAAGAAAAGTATGAAAGCATACTACAAGTTGCACAAAAACGAAAAGAAACTACTTATGAAAAAACAAAGCAGAAACAAATCAAAAAATTTAATAAACTCATGATAGCGAAAACTCCGAATGACAGACAAGTAACTAAAGCCAATTGGATTGTAAACTTGTCAGACAGAAAGTTAACAGAAGCAGAGGAAAGTGTATTGATGAAAGGGATGAACTTCAATATCAGCAACAAAAGATTAAAACCTGAAGACATCATACCTGTAATTGAAACAGCACTCGAAGGATATGACAAGCAAAAAGCTGAACTGGTACGAGCACAATGTGCACTTACATTAAAAAAGCAAAAAGCAGAAAAACCAAATATAACGAAAGAGGAACTAAAAGCACTTCAAGACATAAAAGCAGACAAATCCATTGTCATTACTCAAGCAGACAAAGGAAACACAACAGTATTACTTAACAAAACAACATATAATCAAAAGATGAATGAACATCTACAATCTGGACCCTATACCATAATGACTAAATCAGCTGAAACGATCATCAACAAAACAATGAAAGAAACAGCAAAGGTAGTTAGACAAATGAAAGAAGTAATCGGTAAGTCAAAATGGTTTGAAATTATGCCAAAATCCTGTAATGTACCTAGGATATATGGTAAGATAAAATTGCATAAAGAGGGATATCCAATAAGACCGATTGTAGACTTCAGAAACACACCAACGTATATGCTATCCAGATTTCTCTCGACAATACTAAGACCGACAAGAGACAACTCAAAAGCTAGAATAGTAGATTCATTTGAATTAGTGAGGCGAATAAAAACCACTAAAATAGAGGAGGAAGAAATACTAGTTAGCTTTGATGTAAACAGTCTTTATACGAAAATACCCATTCAAATGGCCATGATTGCACTGAAAGAGAAACTAAATGAAGATAATGGCCTGAAAGACAGAACACAGTTATCCGTAGAAGAAATAATAAAAGGGGTAGAATTCTGTCTGACAACAACATATTTCACATTCGAAGGAAAAATATACCAACAAAATGAGGGAGTAGCCATGGGATCGCCTATCTCACCAATTATAGCTGACATTTTCATGGATTATTGGGAGGAGAATGCCCTTAAACCATTCAGATCATCACTAAAATGTTGGTGGAGATATGTAGACGACACGCTAGTAATAGTGAAAAAAACGATACTGAGAAACTTTTATCACACATAAACAAACACGTCGACTCAATAAAATTTACTATGGAATTAGAGAATGAAATTGGAGAACTGCCCATGTTAGATTGCAAGCTACAAAGAATGACAGATGGTAGCATAAAAACAACGATATATAGAAAAGCCACACATTCTGGAAGATTCCTTGATTATTACTCAGCTCATCCACTCTCGGTAAAACGAGGATTAATACAGGGTCTTGCAGATAGAATACGTAGACTTACAACAGCACCAGAGGACCAGCGTAAAGAAATAAAAGTCCTATTCAAAATGCTACTCGAAAACAACTACCCTAGAGAATTTATAAAAGATAATATAAAAAAGAGAAAAAAGAGGGTAAAACCGGAGAATAACAAGAAGGAAGAATGGAAAAAAACAGTCGCAATACCATATAAAAATGGTACATCAGAGGCAATACAAAGAAACCTCAAAAATATCGGCATTCGAACAACCTTTAAACCGACAAATCTAATCAAAAATAAAATAAATCAACTAAAAGATCCCATAAAAATGATGGATAAAAACAATTTGATTTATAAAATATCTTGTGCTGACTGTCCAACTAAATATGTGGGGCAAACGTCCAGATCACTCAAAATAAGAGTGAATGAACATAAACGCCTAACTAAAGGTCAACCAACAGGGACACAAGCTTACAAAAATCTTGAAAAAAATTCATCCATAGCTGCACATGCATGGGACAAAAACCACAATATCGATTGGGACAATGTGTGTATTCTAAAAACAAACATGAACAAATGGAAAGAAAGACTCATAACAGAATCGATATTCATTAAAGTCACACCGGATACATGTAACAAGGGTGACTCAGTACAACTATCAACAACTTGGAATATAATTCTAAATACAAACACATGAATGAATGTGGAGTATAATTCTGAACACACATATGCACACACAAACATGAATGAACAGAAAAATAATAATAATGAACTATATATATGAATACAAATCATAAATGTGTGAATAAAACAATTCCAACAGTGGTGTGAACACGGGCAGTAATTTTGCTCGAAATATTACCAATAACAAAACTTATCATTGTGTGTAAACTATTAAGATATAATTATACTTTATTTCAGTCCTCAAAGTCCTAGTCATCTGAAGTCTTTCCATTGGTCCGAAGCACTGCTATCTTATCGCTGTTCTGGATATGAATCATGATTCAGTCCACTGGAATCAGGAGTGACATCGTTGATAGTAATGAGCCTTGTTTTACTTCGTGCTTCACTTCAAACACTCCTCTGAATTTTACATTTTGAACAACTAGACATGTGAAGTTGTTATGTGGCTGTTGAATAAGATGTTGGATAAAGGTATGCAATAATCCACTCCGTAACGTTAAGCTAGTTTCCAAATTAATTGACGGACGACTATATCAAAAATCTTTGAAAGTCAATGTTTTTGCATCAGACATTTGATTGTCGTTCTGTGCTTTGCTTGTTGGTGCAACAGAAGCATGAATATATTCATTATAATCTTTTGTTCCATTTTCAACGTTGTCAACGGAATTCCGTCAATTAATGTGTCCTTCTCGGCTTTCCATTGCTTTATGACGTTAAAGATTTGACTTTTGTAAAATGAGTGGTATTCTAACCAGTTATGTAGCTCTTGGTGATGCTTTGAACAAGCTGTTGATGGTCATTGGTTTAAAAGGCCTTCTAATTGGTCAGACAATTGTTTCCTCTGTTCCTATTTTTAAGTAATCAGTTTCCCTTCAATGTCTTCCGTTTGTTTCATTCGTATGGTTCTCCTTCAGTTGATCTGAAAGTGATCTGAAGTCACTTTCACCTTTGGCCTGTTCTGTTACAGTTGTCTGTATGTCGTAGGACTGTTGTCAATACCGGTGTTAGAAACATTTGTTGTGGCCAAAAGACATTTCTCCGGAACACAGAATACTATTTTACATGCATAATAACCCGCTCAATTTCAGCGGAAACTGCATTGAAAGAAGGATGGTGAATCGAAGATTCATCGATCAACTAAGTATTAGCCAACAAAGCAAGTTAATTACACAGAGGGTTCGCCATGTAATTCACAGCTGGTTACTATCAATACAATAAAAACGGTATTCAAATAACGTCGATATAGTATGCACAAAAACTTCTATTCGTATTCCTCCAGGCTTCTGTCAAGTGGAAATCGTCTAAGGCACGTCAAGGATTGCCCCCTCCAAAGAACGGGGAACTGGTTCGAATAAACAAGTCCGTTGAACGCCCTTTCAATGTTCACCATCATTGACAACTGTCTTTTTTTCTTTGTTATGATTCTTCTTCATTTTTTCATTCGGCGCTTTCTTCGTTGATATCAGATTCCATCCATATTTTTTGTTTTTTTGTATGTTTACTCTAATTACCTACAGTTGACGGTTGACTGCAAGTCCTTGCCTTGCCTCTTCTTTCAACCCACCTTAGTCTACGTTTTACCGAGACTGGGGTGAACTCTGTCTGACTCTCAGTGTGTCTGCCTACAGAAACGCATGTCGCCTTGTTTATTTGTTTTCAGCTATTCACGTTGCTTACAATCATCAAATCGATAGAGGAGCAAATGTTTTTTCTCTATTCTCATTCGCTTAACCGCTCAAATATTGACCTTTGATGGGTCCTTATCCTATGTGATCGTCTACCAGATTGGTTTGCGTTCACACCACCCACTAGAGCTTTGATGTGAATATCTCATTGTCTTCTGATTTTCCTGGCTCTCATTATTTGTAGGTGTCTCATGTTGTATAATTGCAAATGTCGTTCTTGTTTGGTAGCATCGTAATGCGATAATTTCAAAAGACATGGTGTGTCCATGAGATTTCCCTGCAAAATCATCTTTTCATTGGATTAAATGTCACTTGAAAGACTTGGTCAGGTATGACGAAAACCTGCGCTGTCTTATCATTGCTAACCCAATAATCTATCAATTCGAGAAAAATAATTATTGGCATAAAAAATTATTATTTTTATAGATTCAGAGGTGATTATTTTCAAGTCTTTATTTTTCTCTTATATTGTACACTGCAGATCCAAATCAAATTAGTACGTAACCGTCTTTTGTTAATATAACGTTGTAGCCTGAAAATCGTGGTTTGTTCTCTTCGTTGTAGTCGTAAGTGCTGAATAGGAATCCACACAAATCAATGCCTTCTGTGAATCTTCTTCGGAAACATCTTGATCATTTGAAATTCTAAACATTCAGCTTCTTATTTGAGACACGTGTTGATGAGAATGAAAAATCCTTAATTAAGCCACTTTTGTAATGCGTCGTTGAAATATAATAAGTGGTTTCTTGAGATTATTATTCTCCTTGCATTCTAAACACCGTTTCTGTTGATTAATAGCACGTAAGTTCCTAAATCGAATATCCTTATTATAAGTTAATTTCTGTTCTGTGATACCTATATCTTTCTCTGAAATAACTTAAATTGTACAAACTGAGTCTCCTGCTTCATGTTATAAAACAAGGCGCGTCACGTCCTTATCAATATGATGATTGTTTAAGTCATTAGCGAACTAAACTAAACAATTTGCTCAGTTGGAAATTCCCGGTGAAAGATGGACATAGCCCCAGAATAATTAAGTGTCGTGAAAATGTGTCATCACTTGAAGTTCTGGTTTTCCACCCAACTTACATCTCAAAAGTCATTTATAATAATGTAATTTTCTCATTTTGACTAGTAAATGAGAGGTTTTGATGTGGTTGTGTTCTCTAGGCTGGATGGTTAATTAACCATCCAGCCTAGAGAACACAACCACATCAAAATCACCCACCTGAGCTACAAATCTTCTCTAACATATCTAATTGAGAGGTCAAATATAAATATATTCTTTCAAGTTTTTACTGTAGAAATCTTATAAACCGGCTTGGTTGCATTGTGTCGTCTTCTTTCCAAGCGATTTCAAATGCATACAATTTGTATCTTTTAATTTGCAAATAGTGACTCTTTTCTATGTTTTTCGTCAAACGTTTTTATTAAAAGGTGAAAATCTGAATAAAAGTGAGTGTTTACTATCTGTGCGTAAAACTGAACCTTTTTCGATGACTTTGATAAGAAGAAATATATAGAGGAACTTTGAGTGTTGTGTGTATTAGGTTGAATGAAGTTTGAATACATAGTTAACTCACACCAAATTTCAAGTTCTACGTATAAACCAAAATTTTCTTGTGGCATCAGAAGAAAACGAGGGAAAATGTAATGTCAATACAAAATAAATACATAGAAAAAATTTTACGCATCACTTTCAACAAATGGAAGTCTCAATAGATACAGCCCTTTATACATCTAATGGTTGCAGTTTAACTGCCTTAAAATACATAAGTGAATGCAATTAATCACTTATATGTGTAAAAATATATCTCCATAGTTCATGAAATAGTAAAAGAATGTAAGTCATTTTCCATAATAGTTTGAATCAATAATTCTGTATCCACAAGCATCGCAAATATAAGAATATTGGAGAATGATCATCACTTTTCCTCTGGATGAAGAAAACTAGGTCATTTGTAGCTAGAAATTTGACGCTATGTACCATTTTAGGTACACTTATGTTTGTGGTCTTTCTTCAGAGACATTAAGAATACATGTGGTTTATAATTTTTAACGCTTCATTATTAATTTACCCATGTGTTGATATGTATCCCTGGCGGCCAAACAATAAAAGTATGCATTGTCATAGACACATTCGTAGGAGTCATAAAGACTATAATGAAAATAGTTCTCGTTCATGACAATACAGATAATAACGTAAAAGGAATATGCTCATCATTTCAGCATCTGCCAAATTGTTAATTGTTCCACAAAAAGGTCGAGGAAAAAGTAAGTTTAGTTACAGTAATGAATTTAAATGATTACTTTTGGTGCACCAACTGACGTCAATGTCTGTTTCGTCGAAAAGAAACATTAGACTAATGTTCAGACTCACATTGGGTACAAATAAATTGTTGGATTTAGACAGACCGAAAAATACAAAGTCACCCCGAAATATGATAAATAGCAACATTACACATATTTCGAAATTGAAAACAAATACAGTTGAACGATAAACAGTGAATCAACAAACGCTTGGTGAAGAAAGGTCAAACTGAATTGAAACTGTCTTGTTATCATATCCACTTTAGATTATACGGAAAGCTCGTCTGATATGTGAAAGCTGAGACTTTACTGACAAAATCCAGAAGATATTCATTTGTCTCGATTTGACAGTTACAAGGAATAGCTATTAAACTAGTAACCATCAAGAAATCTGAAGAAATTGGTATGTAGCCCTAAGTAGATATCAATAAACAATGAGATCATTCAGCTCTATACACTTATTTTCGAACATAGTAATTTTGTGCGTATATGTCACCATGTCAACTAGTTAACGAAACAAGACGAGTAGTCGGCTTCGAAATACTGAATACAGAAAAAACTTCACTTAGAAATTTGGGATACAAAATGTTTGAGCGAAGAATATCCCATTAAAATAATTTCGTCGTGAGGTTTACAATGTTTAAGCATATGATAATTAGGAGTAATGTTTTTTCTGAATGCTTATCAACTCAGTAGATTACAAATAATAATAATATGCTTGCATCTTAAAATGTAGATGTGCATCACTGAATTCAATTTCAGATGAATTTAGACATTATGGTGACAACTGAAGAGTAGCCTTACTTTTAAAAATTAGACAAAAATGTGGGTAATGCAGAAAATTCGAAAAAAGTAAACAAATTAAATAACTCTTAAATGAGTGTTAAAATTATAATTGCGAAAAAATTTGAAGACGGTGAGGGCGAGACGATGTGACAATTGAAACAGTAACAACGGGTGTTGTCATTATTTTCATGTCCATTTAGCGACTGGCAAGGTAAAGAAAGTGGCTATATGAGTGGGTTGTATACACACATGATACATTTCTCCGGGTGTATTTTATTGTCTTCAGGTGTATTTGAGAATTATATAAAGGCTTCACTTCGAAAATCTGTTTATGTGTAATGAATAGTTGATACCTTCATCGAGAGAGGTAGTTTGAAGTTTTAATTCAACTTTGGTTAAATATTGTTATGGATATACGAGTACAAAGCCAAATTAAGTTAAACTTTTAACAAAAAAATGTATGGGGCGAACTTCAACGATCTACAAAGAAGTAGAAATGCAGTGACTTTATCCTTAAAAGCATTTGAGAGAAGCGATCATGAATCAGAATGAGTAATTGGATAAGATGAGTGAAAAACTTTGTAAACACTGAATTTTTCAAAAGGTTGAAAGAAAGTGGTTTCACCTCGATGGGTGTAGGTATGTATTAAGCAAGTCCAATAGTACGGTCGCGCGGGAATTATGTGACCTGCCTTGACTAGCGCTACATATTCTGACTTCCAAGTATCACGTGATAACCAAATGACTGACGAAACCTTGAGACACTTTGAAAATTGCACTGGTCAAATATACTGTATTCCTCATATTTTCTATTCGAGATTATCTAAGAATGATAGTAATTTCCGCTCATAGAAATGAAATCTATTTCAGGCAAATGTAACACATTTTAGCCGGGTGAAATTATTGAAACAAGGTACCATTAAATCTTAATTTGAGCACAGTTTACATACAGCATATTTTATCGTCCGGTTATTTAAATGGCAGTGGCAATTTCCACAAAATATTTATTAATACGTTTTCCGAATTTCGTTGTACGATCTCAAACCATTTAATTGTTTGCAGCGAATAATAAAACAGGTAAGCAGGTAAAAAAAGGTGAGCTGTACAATGACTATATGCACCTTGTATACAATTCTAGACTTCAGTATCGTCAATATCTTGGTGCTATTACTATTTTCTCTTGTTATTTTGGTAATAAAGTCATTAACAACAACTTTTTACAGACATTTTGCTTACTATTTCTCATTTCTTAGAAAGTTTAGAGCCTTTGTCATGTGGATGATACGTCATGGCTAAGTATAAAAAATGACTTTTACTCCGGTTATATCCGTTTATAAGAACTTGACATACATATTCAATAGTTTTCAAAATATTTATGAAACATTTGCATAAGCGTTGAGAGGAATGCTAGCGAAATAGTGTTCTAATGAGTCTCATCGAGATAGTCTTAGAATGATAGTAATTTCCGCTTATAAAAATGAAATACATTTCAGGCGACTGAAACATACCTAGGCTGAGTGAAAAGGTGGCCAATAAATCCTAACTCGCGCAAAATTCCCTGCATTTATATCTTCTGATTATTGAAATAGCAGTTGAACTTTCCTTAAAAAACTTTCAAAAATCTGACAAATAAGAATATTATTTTACTGTGTGCAGCTATAGAATTATTAGGTAAGCACTCGTAATTGCATGTGGTCAATCACTTAATTTGTCACTGACAGTGCATTGTTCACTGACCCCTTATTTGCTATCCTCATCATAATGACGAACCTGAAGAAGCAGGACATATGTTACCACTATATTCGTCCTAAAATCTCAAACTGAAATATGTTGATGAAAATTGTAGTATTCGGTGAACCTAATCTGTGAGTCAGCTTTCTTTTGTCAGAAATATGGTGTAGGTATAGCACACACCGCGCAGGCTCCTCATTGTGAATTTCGCGAATGTTCCAGTGTCTGCTCAAGATATTTTTAACTTGATCAGGTGTAATAGAATCAAGTCAGCTTCATAGTGAATGACATTGTAACCTCCGATTACAACAGTCATTTACAATGAAACGGAAAGAGGCATTTTTGAGTAATGTGTAACAGACTGTACAGTGAAGCTGACAAATTCCTCATGTTTTATCAGCATTTATATAGTTGATCATGAATGGAAAATGATGTAAAGATGGTATTAGATGTAGTCCTATAAGCAGTGTTGACGTTGTCACATATTTCACATTCGAAGGAAAAATATAGCAACAAAATGAGGGAGTAGCCATGGGATCGCCTATCTCACCAATAATAACTGACATATTCATGGATTATTGGGAGGAGAATGCCCTTAAACCATTCAGATCATCACTAAAATGTTGGTGGAGATATGTAGACGACACGCTAGTAATAGTGGAAAAAAACGATACTGAGAAACTTTTATCACACATAAACAGACACGTCGACTCAATAAAATTTACTATGGAATTAGAGAATGAAATTGGAGAACTGCCCATGTTAGATTGCAAGCTACAAAGAATGACAGATGGTAGCATAAAAACAACGATATATAGAAAAGCCACACATTCTGGAAGATTCCTTGATTATTACTCAGCTCATCCACTCTCGGTAAAACGAGGATGAATACAAGGTGTTGCAAATAGAATACGTAGACTTACAACAACACTAGAGGACCAGTGTAAAGAAATAAAAGTCCTATTCAAAATGCCACTCGAAAACAACTACCCAGAAGAATTTATAAAATATAATATAAAAAAGAGAAAAAGGAGGGTAAAACCGGGGAATAACAAGAAGGAAGAATGGAAAAACAGTCGCACTACCATATAAAAATCGTACATCAGAGGCAATACAAAGAAACCTCAAAAATATCGGCATTCGAGCAACCTTTAAACCTACAAATCTAATCAAAAATAAAATAAATCCGCTGAAAGATCCCATAAAAATGATGGATAAAAACAATTTGATTTATAAAATATCTTGTGCTGACTGTCCAACTAAATATGTGGGGCAAACGTCCAGATCACTCAAAATAAGAGTGAATGAACATAAACGCCTAACCAAAGGTCAACCAACAGGAACACAAGCTTAAAAAATCTTGAAAAAAATTCATCTATAGCTGCACATGCATGGGACTAAAACCACAATATCGATTGGGACAATGTGTGTATTCTAAAAACAAACATGAACAAATGGAAAGAAAGACTCATAACAGAATCGATATTCTTTAAAGTCACACCGGATACATGTAACAAGGGTGACTCAGTACAACTATCAACAACTTGGATTATATACTTTGATAATAATACTTTCATAAAGCTATTAGCATTAAATAGCGAAACGTCAGTAAAAACAATATCGTTTTGTGTTTCATTCATTGGGAAATCCAAAAAGCTTTACTATAATGAACTTGGAATATTATTCTGAATACAAAACATGAATGAACAATAAAAAATAATGAACTATATATATGAGTAAAAATCATAAATGTGTGAATAAAACAATTCCAACAGTGGTGTGAACACGGGCAGTAATTTTCCTCGAAATATTACCAATAACAAAACTTATCATTGTGTGTAAACTATTAAAATATAATTATACTTTATTTGATCTAATCCACAGTGCTCAAACTTTTTACTGATATCTATTCGACTCCAACGTACTTCAGCTTGGTTTAATTCTCAAAAATCTCGGCCACTGAATTTTAACTCGCACACAATTCACTGCATTTTCATCTCCCTGTTATTTAAATAGCAATGGCAATTCTTCTATTATGCTTATTAATAGGTTTTCCTTATTTCCTTATCCAACCTGGAAATCATTTTCTTTTTTGCAGCTGTTAGTGGAGTAGGTAAGGACGTGTTCACATGTGGTCAATCACTTAATTTGTCACTGACAGTGCATTGTTCACTGACCCCTTATTTGCTATCCTCATCATAATGACGAACCTGAAGAAGCAGGACATATGTTACCACTATATTCGTCCTAAAATCTCAAACTGAAATATGTTGATGAAAATTGTAGTATTCGGTGAACCTAATCTGTGAGTCAGCTTTCTTTTGTCAGAAATATGGTGTAGGTATAGCACACACCGCGCAGGCTCCTCATTGTGAATTTCGCGAATGTTCCAGTGTCTGCTCAAGATATTTTTAACTTGATCAGGTGTAATAGAATCAAGTCAGCTTCATAGTGAATGACATTGTAACCTCCGATTACAACAGTCATTTACAATGAAACGGAAAGAGGCATTTTTGAGTAATGTGTAACAGACTGTACAGTGAAGCTGACAAATTCCTCATGTTTTATCAGCATTTATATAGTTGATCATGAATGGAAAATGATGTAAAGATGGTATTAGATGTAGTCCTATAAGCAGTGTTGACGTTGTCGAGTCACAGGATGTAGCCACTTGAAGCATTCTTTTTATCATGAATGTCATCCACGGACTGAAACCATAAACTAGCGTATTTGGCAATTTCTATGTGTACCTATAAAATTCACTTTCAATTCAATTTTGGAAAGAAAGCTCATTCTGCGTTAGATTTGTAAGACTGGGTCAAGAAATATTATCCTGCCTGTTTCATGGACACCACATTGGCTGAGTATGTACAGTTATAACGGGGCACGTAATCATTTTTGCTCATCTAACTTCTTTGAAAGACTCATTGCGGTGAAGAGAGTCAAAATAAGCCTTCGTAAGTCGTCATGTTCTGGTATTTATTTGCATTGGTGAACCCCTTTAAAAGACGTATACGGAGTTCCACTTCATACGCAAAAAAGGTAGGTTGTACAATGACTATATGCACCTTGTATACAATTCTAGACTTCAGTATCGTCAATATCTTGGTGCTATTACTATTTTCTTTTGTTATTTTGGTAATAAAGTCATTAACAACAACTTTTTACAGACATTTTGCTTACTATTTCTCATTTCTTAGAAAGTTTAGGGCCTTTGTCATGTGGATGAGTATAAAAGAAATGACTGTTATTGCGATTATATGCCTTCAGAAACACGTGAGATACATGTTCAATAATTTTGAAATTATTCATGCATCAACTGCATTGAGTTTAATAGATATTCTAGTATAATAATTTTGCAATGAATCTCTACCACACATATTTGGAATGAACGCCTTATCTTCTTTAATTTAATAACTTCAAACTATCAAAAGAATTCACTCGCTAGAATTTGAGCTAATAAATCTAATTCAGTGTGCTGAAGTAGTGTTTGCTCATATTCATTAGAATATCATGGGTTTATTTGTAAAGATAAATTGATTTGTCGTAATATGCATATTGTATTCCAGATCTGATTATTGTTGTTGTTAAAGATCTCTCGAGAAACCTCATAGACGTTCCATTTGTCTTGTAAAAAAATGTCGGGAAATCCTCAGTAATCACGTGACAACCTGGCTACCGGGTGGAACAATATAACATACTTTCATGAAAATCTTCAGGCCGAGGTTGGAAATGTTATGCAGCATTATGAGGAAAACACGTGTAGAAGAACACTGGAAATACCCGAAAGTGATGTCGAAGTTAACCTGTGCGTCTGTTTCAGGAAGAAATAAGAAGCAATACAACTGATGGCTATCAAAGAAAACCTGAAAGTCAATTGATTAGGGACGAATGGTGAGACAGAGAATGAACCGGACGGACAACTTTGAAGAGAAGCTGAAAATAAATCAGGTAATCAGGTTGTAATCGGTGACGAGATTAGCATAGATGAAGCCAATGAGAAACAGAGAACCAAATCTGATAACAATGGGCTGACAGATTCAAAGAACTTTGGAACTGGTCAGAATCTGTGTCTCATCAAGATAAGTCTTTGGCGGCCATGATGCAGTGGTCTTGAATGTTGCAAAGTTACTGAACCCTAGAAGCTTAGAAAGACTAGTCAGAATATATGCAGAGGTCTGCATGCCAACTCACAGGTCACAGCATATATGCTTACGACACTGCCGAGGAATGTTGACAAGGAAGGAAAAGTGGCTACATACAGGCGATTAGAAACGAAAGTCTTCTCAAATGAAAGCTACTGAAATCCAAGTAGGAAGGAGTACTTAGATAGGATTTTTACCTGATGCGATGCAAATTAATTCAGAGACTGGCACAAATGCGCTCATGAAATCGTTGCAAATGTTTGGAGAGAAGAAAATGTACCAAGTCATTGCAGAGAAGGCTACAGATGTAGAGAAACTTATGTTATTACAACGGCCGTCGCGGAATCATACACCTAATCGTGCTAAAACAAATATTAATTAGCTTCATCCTGAAGAGACTAATTCATGATCTGTATGAAGAAGTAAAACTCGTAGCTTGATCAAATTGGGACGATACGGATCAGCATGGATAGTTGGGTGCGACAAGTTAGTATTGCTTCGGAGTGATGAGATAACTCTAAGATTGTGGGCGCTTCATGGACGATTTGTCTCCAGTATCTCACTAGCTAGATTTTCTACATGCCAAAAGCAACAAGCTAACGGAAAAGGCAGGTGTAAACGAGGGGATTCCAGATAACCATGAAGAACACAGAGGTGATGAGACTACATAAAGACCGACAACAGTTAAGCATCAACCACTATCACAGGGAGGAATTCAAACGAGGTCACGTCAATTTTCTAGTCAGTTTCTTTTCAACAGCAAGTGTTACGTATGTCAAAGCCATCGAGGATCAGAATGGCAAGACAGGAAATCTACTGTACTCATCATAAAGAATTTGATATTGATTGTTAACATGACAATGTCTTTGTCATTTCGTGTCTTTGTCTTGGCCTTGTGTTTCACAGAATTGCATTGCCAACAATATCATTTTGAACCAGCTTTGAGTATTTGTTTGCGCCTGGAAATGAACCCACGGAGAAACTACTGCCGACATAGTATGCCGAATATTGCACATTTAGTCTGAATACACTCTGAGGAGACTTTTTCATGACATCACACGTCGAGCCATCGAGTCAAAACCGTATGAAGAACAAAGAGTTTGGCGTGGGTCCCAGTGTGACATGAAGGAGATGGTGTGAAGAAGAGAGGAAGGCGTATGTACAATCAAGGAGCTTGTTACAAAAGACTGCAGGTAACAAGAGGAAAAATACTCTGCTGAAGACAAATGATCAGCTAAGAACACAAGGGAACTATAAAATAATGATGAAGATTTATTGATTTTCATGCTTACTCACATAAATCCAAATCAATTCTTAATATGAGTACAGTCATTTATTGGCTTAAAAACATCCACATGCCACATGAAGCGATTAGACGGCAGTGTCCACCACAGACCGCTACAAAACCTCACCGTACACACTATTTTGGTCAAATAAACACTTGCTTTTTGAATAGACCCTAGTGATCACGACAGATTTTCCTGCCCAACAATTGTTTCTCAACTACGTGAGTGTCCTTATAAATGTCAACAAATATTTGCATGTGTTGCCCACAACGCAGCTTCAATTCATTAAAAATATTATGAAAACACTTTGTAATCGTCAGGTTCAAAACCTTTTTCAATTGAAACCACTACTCGTTCATCGAGAATGCAAAGTTCAAGTAGCGTATTAAATTGTATGCACTAATGAAATCATCTTCAAACATTTCAGTTTGTAATCTGAAATCTGGTTTCTTTAATCACTTTTACATCAGACCAAAAAAGTAAATATTCAAATGTTATCAGTGTGAAGAGATTTCATACCTTTGTATATATTAAATTTTCAGACTTTAATTTACTTGAATAACGATTTTGAATAGTTATATGTTGTATGGTATGAGCTTTGTGAGATATACACGCTGAACAGAATCTGTCGCATCGTTAATTTCGTTCAGAGAGTGGAAACACATTCCGTAATTTGTGATTACACCTAGAATTAACAATACTTGGTGCAGGATAAATATTTAGATAACCCGAGAATGTGGTTGTACATCAAAGATATTATCATTATGAGAAAACACTTAAGTGTCAAGTATCACACTGTGGCTAATTGACTACCAAATTGAGAGGATCATTTAATTCCTGGATTTCTTTCGTAAATTTCTTCACACGCAGTATGCGTAAATATATTTTCCATCAGTCTAACTCAAATTATAGTAAGTAATGTGTAACAGAAGAACGCGGAGTGATGTCCACTCTAAAGCGAAATATTTTGACAGAATAAGAAACTTCCATAATGTTTAACGGTTACACTATAATAAAGAAATTCATAATCTTGTGAATACTTAAGACCGTTTCGGTAAGTGTAATTTTTACTGTGAATAGTGAGTTCTCTGAGAGTAGGCTGCATTTTGTGCATTTAATTCAGAATGAATTTTATACTGATGGAGGTAAAATGTTTAGAATGGTTAATCTGTGGCACCCTCATAAACGAGATGGTACTTGAGAGTGACATTTGCGAACAATCTCATATTATTTGTCTCATGGTTTTTATGAAAACTGTCATAAGTAATCAAGTATGTCAAACAGAAAAGACGACATATTTGATAGTGCAATAAATGGTAGTTCCGAGGTAGGAAAACACATGAGAATACTTGTGACTGTTTCTGTAATTTGAACAGTTGCCTTAAATTTAATTCAACCACCATCCTCATCTTTTCGAAATTGCCAATTTTACTAGTCTGCTGAATAGATTCAGTGCAAAGATTTCACCACAAATTCAAACGATATCTTTTTGAAAGGAATGTCACAATATGATATTCATTTTGCTTTCTAAGAAAAAAACTTAGTATGCATTTCAGTTCCATTTATAGGCTCATGTAATTACTGGTTGGGTCTACCCGCATTGAGAGCTGAATACAGTGACGTAAGAATTAATGCACCTGAGGCAAGATTTGATCTGTAATGAATGAAGTTTAGATACGAAAGGCAAATAACTAAACAAATACTCAAAGTGATGTGGTGTTAATTTCCCCCGCCCCCGTCATATTCGTGAAATTTAACTTAATTGTGACAAATATAGTTCCGCTACTTCACTTTGCTGCTAGAATCTCTCACAATCTGCAAATTCTACCACAAACGTTTTCATTCTCAGACGCGATTGAAGGTGAGTGTAGGTATTTTATTGTGCTTTTCGTCAGCTCTTATTTCAGCAAAAATACTTGGAAACCGTATGGAATTCCATGGTATGTCAGGATTTCTCGTTGTTAGACCACTGGAGGCAAAATGAGGTCCTGAACATGGATGCTTTGTTTCATGGCACTCGCTTGTATGTTATCTCTAAGAAATTCATGTCATTTCCGAGACTGAAACCTGCATCACACGGTCGAAACAATCATAAACATTACATTGTGTGCGTCAGTGGCCCGGTGGCTAGGACCCTCACCTACCAAGCACATGGTCGGAGGTTCAATCCCCTGCCGAAGAACTACTGATATCTCAGGTCGGCCTGCAAAATTCGGGCTATCGATGTCCATGCTGAAAATTCCATACTTGTACTCAAAATACAGTGTTGAATCAATCTGTAATCAAAAATAAAAATAGGTTATTCGTTCTTTCAGTTGACCTGTCGTATTACTTAAAATGGATGGTATGGTTGGACATTAGGAAGAAACTAATTTCGTGTATCTAGTGCCCCGTTAAATGCAAACTGAATTCTGTCGTCGATGGAAACAATCGTGATTCGCGCCTGTACTTTCACTTCCAATAACTGTGATGATTGTAAGTGCGTCACTATAGTTATCACATGTGTAACTTATATTCGCTTTCTATTCGAATGCAGAAAATGAAATGTGAAAGCTGGCTGGATCTTGCAAAAATATATATGTGAACAGATTAATACCGTACAAGCTGAAATCAGAACTGTTTCAATGAGAAAACGGTGCTTTGAGTTCACGATACAGCACCAACATACACTTCGTATTTGAACTAAAGTTTATTACCAATACGCCAAGATAGGAATCATATCGACAATAGCAAATTCTAACTTGTATTGATGAGAGCTGTGGACAACTGTGCAAGAAGTAAAAGCCGCACTAGGAATATTGAATTTATATTTTTTAAATTTTCATCATAGCTTGTTCCACACAGTATTTTTGGCACAAGTGTGGAATTTTTAGAATGTGATATAGGTAACCCGAATTTCGCAGGCCAACCATAGGTATCAGGTGTGGGATCGAACACCGGACCATGTGCATGATCGGCGACAGTCCTAACCTCTGTGCCTCACATTTGTTGACATCACTTTAAATCACATGGATTCAACCTCAATGATTAAATTCATCAGTAGAAGTTTGGATAAACTTCAAAAAACTAACAACAATATATTTACTTCGTTTCAGTTAAGAGTAAGCATTCTATTTTTCGGACTTTATTGGCCACAAATTTTAACATTAACTTCTTGAAATTTCAAATCCCACGGAAAACAGCAAACATATGTCTTGGAAGAAAGGTTATCAGATTATATAAATACAGAAATGGATATATATCACAAGCGACTTCGTTTGTTGCAAATTCTTCTTGCATATATATATGTATGGTTGTAGCTAAACGCTGATAGCGTCGATTTCGAAACAGTTTTCATAATCAGAATGGATCTTGAGTACAGTAGCAAATATAAAGCAATTTCTTGGGACTGGTGCTTCATGCAAATTACTATTCGCCTTGACAGTTTGAAGAGATACTTCTTAATCATTCTGAATTTCTCTCCTGTAATGCAAAAAAACGTACTTATTTACCAACACCAAAGTAAGGTATTTGAAGGAAGTTTTATTATTGACAGGTTAAATCAGAAGATTACTGTGACGTGTTGGTGATAGTTATCAATGACTGTGCGAAATTTGGAAACCTTAGAAATCTCTTCAGTTTGTGCATTGAAATATTCTGCAATATTCACAGTTTGATAAATTGATGTCCCTATGACTAATTTTGTCCTCATTATTTTGTGTGCAACATATCCAGTGGCCCGCATAAATCTCTGCACTACCATCAAAATGGTCAAACTCATTTGCACTTCTGATTGTTTCAATCGTATTTCTTATATCAAATGAGCAATACATGAACACGCGTGCATATTTAATTAGTTCCCCACTATATGCTATACAATTTTAGAAGGAGGTGAAAAAAAAATATGCAGAATTGGTTCGAATCACGGCGGGTGCGTACCGATGAAGACTCCAATACTTGAATGAAACAGTTGCAAAGCACTCCCAGGTTTTCTAATAGTTATCTAACTAATTTCACCTCATGATGAAATCCTCCGATCAATCAAACAAAATCTCTACAAAATCAATACTTGAGAATTGGTTTTCTACTCAAATGCAGCAACCCTATGAAAAATGATATACTTCAGATCAGTCCTTTGCATGCGAATTCTATATGGAGAAAAAATATTTTGGAAATACACTGACAATTTCTGTAATATATTTTCACATATTATGTGAAATAAGGCTTTGCTATTATTATTATTATTATTAATAATTTCTATCAAAAATTAATACGCTTATTTCAGACAGGGTTAAAAGTAAGGATATTTAATTCTTGTGCATTACTTTGCTACTATCTTCTGTGAAGACTTATTAATTTGAATAAGTTATACGATATATAAATAATAAGATCTTCTCGGTTTGGAATGAACACATAACAAAGATGCTTTCGCGAGGATACAAACTGTATTATTAGGGTTATTACTATGAAACACATTCATTTTCTCTTCGAATACACAGAACTGAATGTATAAACATAAATATATAAAAGCTGGTTCAGTCAGATGTCGACTGTTTCAAGTAACATTAAAATGGTTACACGGATAATTACCGGGAACATTAGGATCAGAAAAGTTTCAATGATAAAACAATACTTTATGTTAAGAGACAACCACCGTTCACCCTTACAACCTGAAGAAATATCCTCAATACACAACTAATGTTCTTCCGAAATGTGAGAAATGTACTCATTTGCACCAACAAACATTATTTATTTGAAAAAGTGGTTATCACAGATGCGTCGACATAGGCGACATATTGATGAAAGCCATAAAGTTCTCAGCAACAAATAAAAGCCACATTCAATGTTTTTATCTCTACGACAGAATGTTTCTCCATGCTCATTTGATTTATTAAAAATTTGACAGATTCACTTTCACTGCCTCATTTTACCAGTGTCACTTCTCAAACACTACATTATTTAAATAAGGTATTAAGAAGACAAATTTCGCGAGATTATACCGTCATTTCGTAGTTTCTTAACAACCGCTTTACAAACAACACGGTAGGTTAACAATAATAAAACAAAATAAAGATCATGACAATTACTCAGTTGGATAAAAAACAAAAGTACATACTAATGACCAATCATATTTAGATAGGTCACGTAGTCTATGATAGGCAAAGATTGAAGTCTACTGTTTAGGCTGTATGTGATTAATCCAAAGTGTTTCCATCACCTTTAATAACCAACCATGAATTAGAGTTATGTGATGAAATAATTGTGAAGCAGTCATTATTAATTATTTTGTGATCAGACATTAATAAGTGTTTTGCAATGCATGATGCTGGATTTCTTTTAAGATTAATCACACTGGGTTTTTTGTTTATGATTTAGTAGCCATTTTGGAACATGTTCTTTTCGACGACAACATTAGAACATTCTATTGGACCTACCTATATAGGTGTCGCCGCAGCTGCAGGTGAACTTGTAGATACAGTTTAAAGTACAGTCCACAGAATTTCGTCCTTTGATCGTCGGTACAGGGGTCGAAAATGTTCGGCGAGTGAGAAAAAGATATGCGACGTAGAACGTGCGTTTGATGGCTGATGGAAGTCTTTGAGTTGTCAACTGCATAATCTGATCGACCTTGAATAGTAGGTTAACAAAATAGCTTTCTTTGGTACAGAAGCTGTCTTTTCGAGATGTTGTCTTTCTTTACTGTGACAAGTGATAAAATTTTCCGGATAACCATTAGCTAATAAAACTGAATGTATACATCGAAACTCATACATAAATGTGTCACTCGTTTATATCCTTCGGGCCATTGGGAACAAACATTTCACTAGGGAACGTTTATACTGGATAGGAACAAAACTGGCAAAATGAAAATATGGTCCAACCCATGTCTGTTTACGAAAAATAGACCAATGAATCGTTCCATCATCTCCCCTAGTCATAGCAATATCCAGGAAACCAAGTTTGTTATTCGATTCTAGTTCGGAAGTCACTCGGTTATTTATCAAAAATAAATTTCGTTTTCTCAGATGAGGGCGGTGAGTATTATAAATATCAATGTGTTGCTTTAACCTCACTTTTTAATAACAAGTTACTTCTGTCAAGCAATTTTAAACTGCACACGATGTCAGAGATTCATAGTTTGAGAGAAATATATGTAGCGAACCCGTTTGTTCCGATTATGGATATTAAGTCATTGTGTTTTAATACATGTGCAACATGAATTCTCTATCCCTTCGAATATGTGTTTATGCAGGCTGATCATAACTATTTCTTGGATTCGTGCTTTTACACAAAAAAAGATTTCTCCTGCGAGAGAATAAAGAAATGTTTTTGATAAGTGTCAAGTTTTGTTTTACAGAATTTCTATATTGCCTCATCTACTCACACCTAGATTGAATATTTTAGCAGACTTTTATTTAAGACGCCTAAATAGGGTAAATACTGTTAAAAAATCAATGCGCGATGTATTGGTGAGACTTATATATCACTAGGCGGTGGTTGAAAGCCCTAAGCAACTTTCGAGTCTGTAGAATAGAAGGTTCCTCTGCATACAATTCACTTACATTTGGACACATTCAACTTCGATACTTCATTTCGTCCGTATCATTTGTTATACACTATGAAATCCAAACAATTTTCTTTTTTTCTCAGAGGATTATTTTCGTAAGAATACTTAATTTTTCTGCATTTGATTAGAATCTACCTTTAAGGGCAGTATAATACTTGGAAGTTAAGTATTCCACAGCCTATAAGAACTTCATGTCTACAGACAAGTGATTTTCAAATAAACTGACTTCAATTTTTGTTAAAAATTTTTGACTATATGTTTTGATGATTAATAAAACCCGAATAAATCCGCTGAAGAAGCTGTGAGTTGCACAGCGAAACATTCAGAAATTATTTTTTATTTTTTCTTAAGCATGATGAGATTGATTTAAATAATTGACAATGAATCAATCTGACTCGGTGCTCAAATTATTCCAGGAAGTTCGTATTACCTACGGTCTGAAAACTTATAAGAACTTCACGGTTTGAAAAAATCATTAAACATCATCTAACTGCAGTTCCTTTAGTTTTGATTTTAGATATTTGTAAACACTATCAAGGATGAACTTTAGATCTGTATGTAGGGTAGCGGATAAATACTGATAACTTCCCTTTTAAAAAAGTGCTCATCTGCGAAATATATCTCAGTTTTACAGTCCCTTGCAGTGATTTCCTATTTAAAATACAGTCTCTTTTGACAGGTTATGAAAATGTTCTCAACTTAGAGCACAATTAATCTCTGTAAAGTTCAAAGTGTACTTATTTACACACATCTACTTTCAGATATTTGAACAGTTTTATCACTGAGACGTTGAATCAGATGACATTCACAACAAAATAATCTGAAATGTGTTGATGATGGCTACGAATGACCAAGCGACACAACAGTAGCTGTCCAGTACTCCCTGGTTTTCAATGGTTCTCTAACATATCAATCCGTCATTAACTCGTAAAAACAAAAAGACCCATTTAAATATCGAATCAGTTAAACAGAATGTAATTACATATTGATGGTATTTAATAACATTTTGACTAATTCACTTCCATCGCTTCAGTCTGTGTCATTTAGCGGTATCTTTCAATTTTCATACTTTTGTGATAGAATTCGAAAGAAGTGAGACTACTTTTGTATTACTGTTAACTACAATGATTATGTCTTTTATTAAGTTCCTTCATTATGATTTGAGTTTTAAGCTATAAGAACATGCAACCATTGCATTCAATTCTCTCAAACCATTTTTTCAACTGCTTTCATGACTGATGACGTAGTCCTTACCATGTGACGCACAAAAATTGAAACTTTTGCATACTTTTTGGGTTTCATTCCACATTGGAGACTATGAATGTCTTCTTGAGGCTTGTTGAGCCTGTGGTCTATTCATTAATCATTTGTTTCTAGTCTTGTTCCCTGAGTTCAAATGTTTCTCGTGTCTTATCTTTTGCTAACCATCACTCTGTAGCTTAAGATACTGCTAAATGGGAGCTGTTAATTAAGTCTGCCGGCCGTTTGGAAAGTTACAAGTCTCCGCGGAGTAGAGACGAGCTAACATGGTTTCTAAATTCAAACTATCTTACTTGTGTGAGGTGATGAATATATCCACAATGATCTCAGAATAATGAACGTGTACCATGTTTCTTGCATTCTGAGTAACATCTTCATCAATCGTTTCACCTGTGTGATGTCAGGCAACATTCTCTTTCTCGTGTATTCACTACGTAGAATTTATGATGCTAGTAATTTTAAAGTAGGTGCCATGCAGCATTGATTTGGGTTTAGAAGTGTTTATGAAACTGAACTATATAGTATAATAAAAAACTACATTTTACCATACGGTTGGAGCAGTTGCCAATTTGAGATGCTCTACGGTCGTGCAAAGATTCTGAACGGCGCAGAAGCAGCATCCTAAATTAGTGTTATTTTGTGTGATTCTAAACTCCGAGGTAGGTGTGTACGGAGTCTTCAGAGTGGTCGTTTCGTTGATCTTGAATTGAATTCATCATCCATGCCACCTGTCACTGTAACGATGATGACCTGGTAAGTGAAATCGACGACTTCAGTTTTATTTCTCATACTGATGGTAATTTGAGTATGTTGCTTGCTTTTAATTACCTCCGTCTCCTCTAAGTTTGCGTGACTTCTTGCTATCGTCGTCGTTCCTGTCAGAAACTTTGTTTACTGCTATTATCTTCGCGTTTATGTGGGATGTAGCACTAATGATGCGCGAATTCCGGATTTCTCATTGCCTTTGCATCGATTCACCTTGTTTCCATCTTCTCTGTGCTTTGGTGTGTTACATGATCTGGCTTATCATATTCAGGAAAGTCGATGTGATGGAGGTGAAGAATAAGCAGTCTGTCAGATGATGATGCGTATTCTCGTGATTTCATCGGCAGACAACATATTTCCCTACTATCCATGCCGCTCGGACGAAGTGCATTGGTTGCATGACATTATCTATCGACATCGCTGTGCTTGTTTTCAGTGTCTCTGTGAGCATTCAACCCGGTGCTTTATCTTCTCCAGCTAAGGTGTTCTTAATGACATAAGGGCTTTTCTGATTATCAGAGAGTTCGTATTAACTAGTAGTTTTCTGTTGGCCGATTCTAAATCTGTGCGATCATCTGACGTTAATCGACTCAAGAGTCATATAGTGTGATCACCCCTTTGATTATGACGTTTATTATTTTGTAAGGTCTTTCATACTTGCAGCCTTCTATGGTTGTTTTCCGTCTTCTCATTAATTTCTTGTTGTTCAGCATGTCATGAACTGAAATCAGATAATGTTTTGTGAGTTAGTAATTCAATTGGTTCCCCGACCCTTTTTATTTTACCGGTGTACAGGAATCTGTACAGAGATATTCAACATCCTGCTTCATTTTCATCAGTAAAATATCCAAACAGGCTTCTTTCCGCATTACTTGCATAAATTTCACTATCTCTCCTTGTAGTATTCATCGGTGACGTTGTCTGAATCCACCATCTTCTCTGATGAATAAACTGAAGATGCTTTATGTAGCTTCATGCCTCAAATTTTTTGTGTTGAACTGAAATTGTGGTCTGCCTTAGCTTTATTTGAGTACCTTCCACTTGATCTAGAATTCTTATTTCTCTAAATAGTGATGTGAGAGCACACCCACTCATCTTTTACATCTCCTTTACGATAATCATCTTATCCATATTCTTTAGATTGAGGCAAGGTGTGTCTGATTTTAACTGTGTTGATCTTTCGGAATTCACGTCACCTAACGTTTATTTCTGTGCTTTTTGACGCTGCCTACAATCATTTCATTCATAAAGGCTCTGGGGTTTTCGCCATTCATTTCACCCAAAACACCTCGGTAAATGTTGCCTAACCTTTACATGTATTCACCTCCTAGTTTGACTTGCGTTTACTCCACCATCTAAATTTTTGTGTTGCTGACTGTATGAGGACTTGTCCATTTGCATTTGTCTGTGGAACACTTTCTTATTTTGCTAGTTTGCATTTTCAGCAATAGCGTGACAATTCATGATTTCACTTCTTCCACTTATTGAGTTCAATCACATTGTCAGATTTCTCAGTAAAACTGATTCCCAGTGTATGAGATCTTTCGATGCACTTGTTAACTTTGAAACTTATATACAGCCTGTGTGCTCGTTATTTTTGTTCACTTGCCTATTGTGGATTATTGACGCTTTAATTACTAATATGGAGAATTCATCTGTCATCCCTGGTTCTGAACAATCTCATGTCACATTTTCAAATCTTTTTCTGCAATCTCGTCAACCCTGTCTGCATCAAACATGGAGTAAACTTTCAGTTTTTAATGCGCAATAATCTTTCATTGTAAAAAGACATGGGTGAACTGGCCTCTGAGACGTTTTGCCACCAACAACCTTAAATTAGGGTCCCTGCAGGTAATAAGAGTGTAGATTATTGTTCTCAGTTTAAATTCTCATATGCAATTGATTTGTTGCTGAAATATGTAAACTGTTCAACCTTTCTTCCATCAATAGCTACAAACAAGTTGACAACTGAGTTGTGGTTACTCTTCTTTGCACTTTAAGTAATGGTCTACCTCTTCAAGCAGTTTTAGAGTTTACACATTTTTAGAACTTCAGAGAAACTCAAATGGACATGCATTCGTATTTCCTTCGAATGCACTTGAAGGAATGTAAAAATATGTGTATATCAGAAATGCAATTATTTGATTCAAGTCTCATCGTAGATACGTACACTTGAGGTGAACGTGGGTTGAGTATTCAGCATCTTCATTGATTTTGATTATTCATCATCTTTGACTACATTCTACAACAAAATGAATTCGATTTGACAAGAGCATTTAGAACCGGTTTCAGATATCGCTGTAAAGTACTAGTTACTCCAGGCTGGATCTTATCTTTACAGAAGTAGTGGACAGCCATGCAAATTAGCGACTCCTTTGTACCAGTTATAATGTGTTCCTAATGACTGAACTTGCTTACGACCAGGAAATAACTCAAGCTTCATTGGAATTGAAACTTGTTTAGGGATATGTGGTCTGACGTTCAGCGTTATTAAATATCATTTCGATTGTCTCAGCTATATAATGAGTATCTTCAATGTTTTTCTTTCAAAATGTTTACAATTTACTGAAGAGAAATCTTACGGTAAGTAATCGGTCTGTTTTCAGTTAAAATACCTCAGGTTTTCAAAATATTGTGTTCTACCTTTTCAAATTGTGTTGTCTCCGATTATGAGTATAGTGTCACTACAGCATTTCTATGCGTCATATACCTTCAATTTTTCCTTCAGTAATCGATAACAAAACAAATACAGAAATAGATCTTATTCAGAAATGAATCTATCTGATATCGACTGAATCTCGCATCAATATACAGGATAACACATAAATACTGAAAATTCTGAGATCTTGAATACAAGGGAAAAGTATAACAACTATTTGAATGGGATTCACCAAAAACAGAATTCATTTAAGTTATTGAGGAGAAAGTACTTATGAATACGCACAAACATGATAAATTCTTAAACAAATAAAAGGCATATATTAGATATTCTCATAGTAAAAATTAGAACAACACATTTCAGCCAACAATACTGTTTTCAATTAGATCTCATCAGGCTTAACTCTAAAATACATAACTTTACAAATAAATATTCAAATATAAACCGATCATGGTGTTTTGTCTATGGAATAATAAGATGGCGAATATAAATTGTACAATTATTCATAATATTAGTAATGATAATAATAATGGTTCTATCAGTAATATGGATAACAAAGTGGGGCAATCTGTGATAACACGAATAACGGAAGACTGCATGATTAAATAAACAAATGTTTAGGTAGATGTAGTGTAGTAGTCGGCTAAAAAACATATGAGCTGATTACGTAATGCCAGACTGTGAAGAAAGTAAATGGAATACGTTATTAATGAAGATGTGATAGGATTAAGGTGTGATAAGAGAGGGGTTAAAAATAGAAGTAAGGGGTGATGGAGAAGTTACCAGTTAGTAATGTCTTAATTGGCTAAAAAAAGTCTATGTCTGTACGAACTTCTTTTGAATGTATAGTTTGGGTTTAATACATCGAATACCCATCACCTCAGACAACAACCTAATGTGATGTGTACTCTTGGGATGTAAAATCGACTGAGCGACAAGTGGAAGTCTTATTCGATTTCTGAACATCTGAAATAGAAATGTCACCTATATTCGTGGAATTTCGTTACATTTGAACTGATTAATTTTTGCTGTTTCATATCTTCTGTAGCTTACATCTCGCTTTATAGTTACATTCATATTTTACTCTTTATGTTAGCAATCGAAAACAGTGAGAATGCTAATATAGTGTATTATTGTTTTTATTCGCGTCATTGATTTCATCCTTATTACGTTGCTTCTTTCTAAACTTTGGTTACTCAAATAACACGTTATTGCAAGATTTCATTTGACAGTTACCTGGTTTTCGCTATGTGACACACAAATATCAAGACCGCTGTTTCCTATTCTGGTTACGCTTGACAATCTAGCGTTTTGGTTACACACACTGTCTGGTGAAAAAAATCACGTTCTCAGATATGACAAAATGTTGTTTTGGTATGTCTAATTGAAACTTTTATTCCAAAAATACCAATGAACAAATGGATTACATGAGCGAAATTCCCATAGGAATTCAAAAATTTTTCAATGAACATTCATAATTTCATACGGTATAAATAAGCATACACGCTGATAGCTCCACCAGCTGTTTTTCACACAAAGGGGAAAGGCATACTCTTTTAAATCGTCTTTGTGCTTCGGTTTTCTGGCTATTTTTTGTATGTAAACACTTTGTTATGGAGAGTTCTTAGTAAAGAACACAGGCTTAGTGAATTAATTGTAATGGTTGTGCAAATGAATAGAGAATAAAGGTAAGCTCCTCATACAGATACATGTTCCTTTTTCATATTCTATTTGAAAAAATGTCTGAAAAATGCATAATAATATATTTATATCAATGTGAAATTCGGGTAAGAATCATCATTTCCTTCAGTTCAAATAAGAGAGACAGTACGTACGAACACCAGGATGAATCATACTAACTTCATCCAAAGATCTTACTCTTTCTCTATATCGACAAAGTGCTTACAGAATAGGTGGCAAGCATCCATATTACATTTTTCAAATCATGCCGCTCTCTTTCAAGTTTACATAAAGCTAAATGAGAGACTAATGCAGATTATTATTTCATCCACTATCCATGAATAAATTATATTTAAGAACACAATATTCAATGAAGAGACTTTTTTCAACAAATTAAATAATAAACTGTACGATGATATTTATATGGTTTTGTAATGAATTGTAACGCTTAAATATATGAAGTAATAGTAGCAACAAATGTAATTATAATGTTTGTGATCATAATCATAGTAATATATCAAGTGCATTGTTGGCACAGTGGTTAGGATTTTCGCCGGTCATGCACATGGTCCGAGGTTCGATCCCCTACCGACGCAAACCTGATATCTATGGTCGTCCTGCAAAATTTGGCCTACTGATATCACATGCTGAAAACCCCGTACTTGTACCAAAAAATACGTTGTGCAATCAAGCTGCAATCAAAAAAGGTAGCAAAAGCAAAACAAATAATTTGATGTACAAAATAATTCATAGGATGAATAGAAGTTGCAGAGTGGCGTATAGATTTAACATCAGTAGACAATTAAAAGATGTTACATAACACGATGTCGAATTTGATAGGAGAGAATTCAACAATGCAAAAGGTTTTTAATTCAGATTGACATGTGATGCAAGTAAGGTAATACTAGAAACAGTTCAGAGTGATAATTATACTGGTAATAATAATAAGGTTGCTGGTATGAATGGTATTGAAGAGGGAACTCTAGGTGGACTAACCAAACAAACACATAAAAAAGAAAGTATGTTTATTTACTAATAGTGAAAGCCCAAACAACGAAAATACATATTTCTTTTTTACACAAAGGTCTTACTTAGGCTCATGGCTTTCGTTGTCATTATAAGTGCATAACAAAGAAGTCACAGCAAATTTGACAGATAGTCTTAAAATCATGGTCAGGCTTGGTAGAGCGTTACAAGTCGATCAAGCGATCAACACACCCTTTCTTTTTCTTTTGTTCTCTGTGTGGAAAGCAATCTCTGTCCATGGTCAATGTACCTGATTCTACGAAAGTGTACTTCGTGACAGTGTGATGTTGTGTAATATATAATGATAATTTGCAGACTGGAAAGTGGTGGCAATCGATGTATCTTCTGTGTGCAAGAATTTTCATTCAAGCCTTTGTCCGTGTTACGTCAAAAAAAATACAAAATTGCCTGAGTTGGTTTCATGTTGTTCATTTCTGAAATCGTCTAAATATAGTTTTTCGACCTTAAAACTCACACTGCCTTTATTTCAAAAATCTCAAAACTTTCGTGAATTTACGGCGGTGTGAACAGTACAATAATTGTGTTCATCCTAAATTTGTCTGCAGACAAGGTGCTACTGGCATCTCATGAAGGATCTAATATTAATCTGAATTCGACACACTGGTTGTGTTCATGGATAACATTCGCACATAATTCAGAAATCCAAAAAAATAAATATTTACAGTAAAATATCCATCAGTGAACTGTTCAGCATACATTTTGCAAGCCAAGCAGTTCAGTGCTACGAATATTGACATAGATATAATTAGAGACATTCAAAGGCTACTACAAGGAGATTTCAGTCGTTTGACATTATTTTCATTGTTAAATTGTGCTTAAACTCCTTAAGAGCAAAGCGGTAAGTAATGTGGCATACAAGTCAATTGTACTGAGAATTTGAGATTTTTGAAAGTTGTAATCTTAAGTAAAAGTTCGCAACATTGATAACACCAAAGATCGACTGATATAAATTCGATACAATAGCCTAATTTATTTTGAAAATTGTTTGCGATGTATTGTACTGCAAAGAGATCTCAAGTTGTAGTTTAACTGTTGATTCATCAACTTCAAATCATTTAGGTTTCGCCTTATACTGACCTGTCGTTATTCAAGTTCTGTGACCAGTTCATTCATCAAGGAAATAAATTTGATTAAAAATGTGGATATACTCTATTCTTTCGTTTATATTTTTTCATATTGATTCGTATTTTTGCTATATGATTACAAACGGTAATTTAGGGGTGTTATGTGAGTGAATGATATTAGTAACAAGTTTCCGATTTTCTTCAAATAAGATGTGATGAATTATGTGACTGATGTACACATCAAGAATTTTAGGATCATTATGAAAGCATGTTTCTAGGTAGTGTTTAATTAAAGCATTATGTTTCGCAGAAATCATAATTAGAGTGTTTGACATCACTTGATTAACTTGAATTATTTAGAAAACAAGGTTACTTAATGGAATCGCAACTTTACAGTTGGCTTCAGTGATGGCATTGTGTTAAACAGAAAGTGAATCACTATACAAAAGTCAGCAGAGATCTGCGTATCCAGCACATTCTTAGTGTATGTTGTTCTTAAGATTCCTAAAATATTTTTGGCTTATTCCTGAAGAACAAGCATGATTTTCAGAGTTTCTGAAATCACGTTATTAGACTTAGAGTTGTCTGTTATTTTGACTTAAAGTTAAGTGCAAATCCGCATAAATCATCCACTAGAACATCCTATGTACACACATTTTTGATAAAATATCAATCGTTAAATAATTCATTCAATTAAAAACTATCAGCAATAGGCTGAATTCGCTGTAAGGCTTCCACAAGATTATGTATGTCGTTCCCAAGAGTAAATCGTTTCGTTTTTCTATACTCTGATGTTGACAAAAATGTTGTATTTTTTCGAAATTAGATGATGCAGGTTAGTTCTCCGTCAGCATTTTATTCAAAATTATTTCATACGGTGCATGGATAGATTAATGGCAGAAGGTAATAGTAGGAGAGGAGGCGGAGCAGAAGGTTGTTTTTAATAAAAGAGAAACAGTTTCACTTTGTTTCAAAAAATTATTATTATTATTAAATACAAAACGAAATTAAATACCTGGGAATGCATGAATAGAAGATGGAAACAATTTACGTTATGTGTTTACAGATATAAGGTGATGAAATCTCCGTTGGTAGACAATTTCTTTATCCTCTCAGCACTCGATGTTAAAATCAACTCCAAATCATACTGAAGTCATGAAACATCCAAGGAACAAAAAGAGAAAGGTTTTTCTTGACAGGTGATGAATTTTCACTGATAAAGCTGACGACATTTTATCTAGTGGACTGTGAGTAGGCTTTCATTTTTATTTTTGCCAAATTTATTTTAGAATAACTTCAAAATCATTTGAAAGTGCACAGCTAGAATAGATTTGCGATGATATTCAATGCACAGTAATTTATGCCTATTAATTCTGTCAATGTAACCTGGAAGAATTTTGCGCTTCTTACAGACTGAGTATTATAATACACATGTGGAAATATGCAGCTGTATACTTTAATGAAACTAATCTGTTGCATCTGTGGAAGGGATCTGCCGGAAATAGGTAGTGTTAAATGGTATAACACCTAAAACCTATAGGAGTTTGATGACAATAAGCTCCTTCAGGCTGTGAAACTGATGACTGTTATTATATGAATGAACACCTTTCGAATCATCACTGAATGTGATATGTTTAGTTGAATTTCACCTTCATATATAATTTGAAACTAAAACAAGTGTAATATGAAAAAATTACTTGCCTTTTAATAAATAAATTAAAAAAATCAATGTTCAAACGTCTTAATACAAAGCCTTGAGAGTAAAAATGTTTCTGTCTTCATCTTGCGTTATCCTTAATATTATTTTAATCCGTTATATTCCGAATGGATAATAGGGCCCTAATGTTTCATATGTGAAGTTCTGGCAGCAGTAGCTTTATTTATACGACGCGAGTTCGCTAAAATCACGTCCAACCTTCGCTTCTTACGGGGTGGTTAGCAGTGGGGGCCAGTCGACCAGTTGTTAAGCGCCCTGACTATGTGGGTGGTTAGCGAGCATTCCAGCATTGGACATACAAAGCATTTCGCTTGCGCATCACAAACTCAGTATTCTCTGAGAACTTTATATCTGAAAACGTCAATTTTCCTCACACATTTATGAACCTTGATCCTCACATGGATCACAGCTCTTGTTTTTATTTCTCAGTGATTTTCCAAGGCAACCCCTGGAGTTCTTAGCGTTAAGAAGTGTGTTTCGGTGCTTATCACCTGTAACAAGACTGAATTTACAAACACCAGAACACTGAGTAAAATCTTAACCTCAGATTTTTCTTAGTTTCTGATAATTTTGTGTAATCCCTTAAAGATTGCAGTGAGTATACATTTTTATTTCGGTCAACTCGTTACTTTCTGAGTTTGTAACTGTATATTAGAAGCCTCGAGATACTTCATAGACTATTTGTATGAATTGAATTCATGTTTAATAGATGAGTTATAACTGAAGTGTCAAAGTGAAAGCAGTTGATAATCTTCATCCTTTGAATATGGAGTAACAATCGCTATAAATTTTCGAATAACTCCCATTAATTTCAAGATTCACAAGAAGCCTCACATTTTCAGATGTTGAGATGCGTAAAAAGCAACAATTGGCAAATTAGTAAATTTGAAAAAATCTAAAGATTCACTGTTATACAGTCAGATTTATTAACCATATTAGCGCGGGATATATTTGGAAGTAAGCAACACTGAAAATAATTGGGATATACTGGCTTGAAAAGACTAGGTTAAGCCGAAATAACAAACTCACATATAAGGCCATGACTTCATTCATTGTGAATATTTATGGTTCTCAGGGAAAGAAAGATACCATTTTGCCATAGTTTCCAAAATTATTAGGGAATATAATGATTTCGTACTCAATGGAAATACCTTAATTTACCAGGACGTTCTCAGTAATATTTTTAGCAGCAGTCTCAGAAAATTCTTTTCGAAGTATGCCTGAACATTTGAAATGTTCAGGTATCCTGTTAGCTTCACTAATCACAAGAGCGTGTCAGTTTATGCATTTGATTTGCCTAAGTGACCTACACTAAACAACTAATATGGAATGTTGATACCTATGCTGCTATAGCATCTGTCTTGCTGAAGTATAATCATTCGAATACAGACCACGGATAAGACGAGATGAAGTGACCATTTTGTCCTTTTTAGATTGCAAGGAAACACAAATGACTCACATCATATAAAGTGATGAAACACTGAGGGAAGGTTTGTGATCTGTGAAGTTATCCCACTGAAAAACTCGCTTTCTTAGTGCTTTCAGTGATATAAAGCAATTCAATAATTTAGTAAACCAATAAGAGACTCAAATACATATTACCAACTCACCGAAGGACAAAGTAGCACGTTAATTGATAACAGCAGAGCCAAAACAAACTGGAAACATCAAGATTCAAACGTCGCTAGAACTGCACGTAAAACATTATGGATTCTATTAGTGCGTAGATTCCAGTTGCAGAGAAACATCTTACAGATGTTTCCTGCGATTTTCTCACCACATTGAAGACAAAGGAAATCATTTAATTATTATGTTACCTTCACGCGAAACAAACCAGATTAGAATGTTAAACCTGACATGAACGACAGCCTTCTACCCATTGAAGTCCAGCAGAAGTTCCCCAGTGATTCCAATGAACTAGTTTTCGATCAGTTGTCAGTCAGTTTCTCAACGTTACAATGTGAAGCTCCGTCTTGATTGTTGACATTTTACGACATGACTTTAAACATCAACAGACTTCATAGGTTTATCCAATTTGAAAAATTTTTATCAGTCAAACGAGTGACGTTACTTCAGTCTTCAATGCAGAATTCTTACATTATAAGTCAACAATCTTCGGCTGCCTCAGTCAATACCTTAGCTCAGAAATAGAAGTGCGATACCTCTTTACAAATGAACAGAGACAGTTGCTCAAAGAAACAAGAAATAATGTTAATCTAACCAGGAATACAGTTGTGGAGTGGTTCTCTTGGATAGAGATGTATATGGCAGCAAATTCGCAGCTTTAATATCTGATAGGAATTTTCCGTCGCTCAAACAATGAGAAAAAAACGACCGAACTGATGTATCAACAAGTGACAGATTTTTTAGAAGAACGAAAAACAACCGTCCTACAAATGATGATTTTTAGACGCCTGATACCAACAAACTCAATTATCTCATGACTCTAAAGTCTACCGAAGGAGGCAGAAACGTGATATGCCACTTCGACTAATTTTAAATGTGTCACGGTCACCAAACATCCGATTGCCAAATGGTTGTCGGAAATGTTAGAACATGTGAAGTAACAACCGTGTATATACACTCTCAGAAATATTTTTGAAATTTTTGGATGCATAAAAAATTTGAATGTAAATGGAGAACGTATGCTATTACCGGACGTAGAATCTTTATTTACCAATGTGCAGCACACACACACAACTTGTTTCTTGTACAGATGTATGGCGGACAGATATCTTAGCATCAAAATGCCAACTTCATATCTGAAAAATTCTTTTCGTGAGATGCACATTCAATGTTACCCTTTTTTTACATCAACTGTATCTACAAACAGATATGCTTCAGTGCCATGGCCTCTCATTTGGTTCACTTTTGGCGGGCTGCTTTATGGTTAGTTTGGAAAACAGCATCTTATAATAAAAAATGGACATATGGCTGCTTTTCAAATGGTGTGTTAACAACGCTTTTATAGTCTGTCTTGATGATTCTGAATTAAAGTGTAACTTACAGGAATTTAACAATTGCCATCCACCAATTAAATTCACAATAGAAGTTCAAAATTTTTCAGGGATTCCATTTCTTGTTGTCAAACTGATCAGAAGAGGTTATGGAACTCTCAAAAGATCCATCCATGAGAAACCATCATGGAATGGCTAGCCGACAAACTTCTATAGTTGGTCACCTGTTAGTCAAAAAAGGGCTCTCATCATCCCACTGATCCACCACATCAGAATAATTGGCAACAAAACTGCTTAGAATGAAGAGCTTCTATCTCTGAGAAATATTCAGGCTCAGAATGGGTGCCTAGCGAAACCAACGCAAAATACAAGAATGTAATTCAGTGCCAGAAGAAAAATTTATATTCGAATCTGGATTTCAAATGATATCTAGTGGCAAATGACGTTAAGAGAAGAATCCTCAACTCCTTATAGAAGACCCATCCTGCAGAAACTCTAAAAGTGATATTTTCTAGCCTTCTTCTGCTTCTAAGTAATGCGAGGGACAGGCTTCGCCACATAACCATTTCAGTGTGCATACATCGGTCTGTCTGCCTGTACGGAGCTATGAGTCTCTTTTCAAAACATGTAAGAAAACACTACCTAGCATGACTGAAAATAGGAGTCACCAGTCTGGTCAGAAGCGCCGAAACTACGCACCTCATCAACACTTATCACAGTATTCTAAACGACTCATCATTCTGATTCATCTACATAGGAAAAAAAATCTATCAAAGGCATATTTACTGAAATGCTGGAGCTGTGTGTTCAAAGACCTTAGTCCAACCTCTACATTTAAAAGCAATCTACTTCGTTTTGGCTCCTGAGTTTCTTTTTAATCATTTCCGGATTTCACTGAATTATTATTCCAGTTTTTTTCCATGCTTTTCTCGTCCAGACCTGTGTTCATCAAAGAAATTATTCTCTAATCCTGTGTAATTTTTATTTCTAAACCCATTGTAATCGATATTCACACCCTTCAATTTTTATATGCATATTCTCATGAACACAAACGAGAGAACAGTTGCAAATTACAGCTGAAATATTATTGAACAATGATGTGCTGAAACTGTTACACATTTCGTAAATTGCTTTTTATTTCATTTATTCTACCAATATTTTCTCCCACTATTTGTAGAAAATAGTTATTCTTGACTTGTAAATTAAAGGGAATATTTTTATTATTACTGCTTACGAGACATTGCCTGTTCTATTCTTTGTTACACAGTAGGCAGCATCTAAGTAACACAAAAAGCTGTATATTAACGTTTAACGAATGTATGTATATGTCCACAGAATTCAACCATCTGGAAGAGGGTGATTATAAATACGAAGATATCACATATTCAGCAAACAGATGTTGTGATTACTGATTCTCAAGCACAAAGAAGTTTCTATTATCTCAAAACACGTGTGTAATTCTCACTCCCTCTTTTTCTTAAAATAGCGTGGCGTTGCAGAGGTGAGTAAAGTATCCAACTTCATATCGTTTTAAGTCAATGACATATTCACTTAAATTTAATATTTTCGTGAAAAAAATATTCTCATTTTTACACTTTGGGTCGCTCATTTATTGGTGTCCTGTGGAATAACGTTATCTTGTCTGAAAATTATTGACATTGAAGAACATGCAATTAATGATATAATGAGAACTTCGCAGTGACTTGATACATTCAAATGAGAAATGTTTTAATTACAATGCTGAATGTATTATATTCTATTCATAAATCTATACTGAATCACGAATTAAAGTATATTCGATGCATGTATGCATAGTTGTTAACACTGACGAACGCAGAGGGTTCGACAATTACACCAGATGGATCTCATGATTTTCAGAAGATCTTGAATTTGAAACATTCCACATTTTGTGGCTGAAATTAGCTAGAAAACACAGTCCACTAAAGCGAAGTGCCAAAATAGTACTTATATATGTATGTATAGGTAGGTATGGTCAGCCTTCAATCTGCGGCAGTTTCTCAATCAGTCGCCCACGTAATGCTAACTGTTATCACTTCAAATTCTGCACAAAATATAAGTAGTTCATTCCTTCTGTACGCTGGCCAACATCCACATCCACTGTTCTCACTTTCAGCAGCTAATTTACACACCATTTGAGTAGCTTAAAAATTCCCATTGAAACATACGGAAAAGAGAAGACATTCAGCGAGGAGACTTTTCTCGGCGAATTCATTCACATAGTTGTTTAAACCCAATTATACATCGACTAAAATATTTCAACCTACGTCAGCATAGCAACAGAGTTAATTACGTGTAGAGACTAATTAGAGGTGGGGTGGAGATTAAGGTCATTTAAATTAGGACTGAAGTTGAGCAAATAAATTGGATGACGCAACATAGATGACTAAAATTTGAGCGCTGGTCAAGCCAGCAACAGTGATAAAGAAGTGTAGAAATTAAATCGGGTGGGGCTGAAGAAAGTAGGAAATGTAATCTATTACAATTGCAAAGAAAACATAATATTTATGAAGACACAGAAAGAAATAGAATTTACCTGTCGGGTACTAAGACAGACTACGTCTTACCCAATGTATTTGCCCAAATTTAGTCCTAATTCAAATGGCATTATTCTCTACCTACCTCTACTTAGTCTTTACCTGGAAATACCTCTGGTGCTATCCTGAGCCAGATGAGAACACTTTAGTCAATTATATTACTTCATCTAACTAAATAACTCAATCTCAATTTACTTGATGTCTAATTAACCTTGTTTCTACATTAGATCATGCTTGTATTACCTGATTAATTATCTAGGTTTGAAAAACCTCATGTACACACACACACAAAATAATTATATATAAATGCGATTGTACAACTATGTGAATGGATTCGACGAAGAGAGTCTCTTTGCTGAACGTCTTCTCTTTTTCATATCAATTGTTCATAACATCAGAAAAATAACTTTCATGTTCGTTAAGCAGTCAGTATGTGTATTTGCATTTAGATTTCGGCAAACGTAAGTCTTATTTCATTCTGATGAACACTTGATTTCCAAGGATGATCAACCAGGTTTCAGTTTCTTATTGAGTCACACCACTAATTACTATGAGAGAGAGATTGAATTCTGTGCCTAGTTCTGCATGCTTTTTGCGTTCACCATCCAACAGGATGCACTCTTACTTATACAAATATCTTTGAGCGCATAGCAAATGCTGTTTCTTCCTTCTAATTAATTATGAAAAAAGAAACCTGAAAATTGTAATGCACTGAAGTAAATGACGAGAGAACTCAAGCATCTTACATCTTTATTCTATACGCGCAGTGATTTGTTGTTGTGGCACCTGTCATCTTCTTGTTTGTGTTTCTAGTTGTACTCTTACACAAGATAAGGTTCTGTGTATGACTTCTCAAATGCATTGATTCAAGAATCATTGATTTTCAAATCTTTAACTGTTGCTGTTCGAATTAACCCATAGCATGATTATTAAGGTAATTGTGTGACAGAGTGTAGTTTGAATAAAAGTGTGTGGTGAGCACAGTTTTTATCCTAAGACACTTCAGGAGACATGAGTATTTACTCAGGGATCATCTGATCAATTTGTAACATTAATTGTGCCGGTTTTCAGCTACAATATAACGCGTAGTATTATTTGATCAGCTCACGCTGACTTCGAAATTCCAGTGCTTACGCGATTACTTGTGATGGAAAGTACGCAAGTTATTTAGTGTTCATTCACTGAATATCTAAGAGATTCGTGGCAGAGAGTGGACATTTTGACTTCAGTGTTAGAGATGAAGATAGGTGAAAAACGGTATGGCTGTACCCTTTATAATAAATTATGTAACCATTGCCAATGTGTAAAATATTTTAGGTAGTCTTCACTTGAAAATTATCGATATAACACTGATGCTGTCATGGGACGTTCACCAGAAAACATGATTCTATATAGTATTGTGAGAAATGACATCTGTGTCAACAGCTTACAACTGCAAAGAACGGTATACCATTTGAGCTCCCATATGCTAGATGATACTTCTTGAAATTACCGTCAGTTTTTCAAAAGAAATGTGTTAGTTATTGATGAATTTGCCGAGAAGACGTCTGTTTCAATAAATATGACTAGGAAAATCCACAACAATTTCAATAACTACACTAACATTTCACATAGACAAGTTGTTCATTTGCGAATCGGGGTAATTTACTCACACATTTGCCAAATTTCCAAAAGTAGTAAATAAATATACTGAGAAAATTTCATTAAAATTTTTTCCCTACAAACAGGTTGGTTAGAAAGGCAATGGTAATTGATTTTGTTTACAGCAAAGTGAAATGTATTGCGAGAAGCATAGAACTATTGTATTTTTGATGTTGCTGACTTAAAAGCTGTCTTTGGTCACATTATTTCCCCAGGCGCGATAGTCACAGGAACCACAAACCCAGTTTGCCTATGCATTTTGTAAATGAATCGACGGACGATTTTGAAGTTGATTCACCTGTAGCGACGTCAACTTTCTGAGCTTGATAAAGTATCTAAAAACAAGATATTTAGATGTAACGCTTCAAATCATATCAGTATAGCAATTCTTTCAGTGGCTACGTTTCCCACTGGCATCAAACGATGTATCGCTTGGTTTCCCCCCTGTTTATCGCCTACAATAAACTACGGGATTAGTTTCACGTGTTTCAGGCCCAAATAGAATGCTAGTAAAAGCTCCTGGATATTTCAAACAATGATACTCATTTGCAGTAAACATATGACAAACAAACTGTCAGTGCTCTTTGAACGTCAGTTTCATTCGTTGTTAATATATAACCTCGCAAACTGCATCAATTTATATGATAAACAAACGGAGCATTGTCATCATGGGTAATAAAAATATTTGACAAATGCTTCATTTCAACGAATATTCAGGACAAACTCTGGAATAATGACTTTCTAAGAAGAAATTCACTTGAATAAATGCAAGTAGTTAAGGAGAAGATTAGATTTGCACATATGACATTAAGTATAATGTCTTAAGTCTGATTTAAAGCCCGTAACCAACTTATTAGAAAATATAATATGTATGCACACAGTTAGCTAAGAGTAATACATTCATCTTTTTAGTTCCATCGTTATTCCGGTATAACAGTATCAGCTTTAGATAAAGCATGCAGCTGCTTGTAGATGAAATACTGCTGAAACTTATTTCAAGACTTTATATCCTTCTGCAATTTGTCATATTTGCCTGATATTAGCATAGCAATCAAGAGCACTTATCGACAGAAGAATCAAGACGAGTACCTTCATCTTGTACATATCCTATGTGGATTAGTACAATGTAACTAGATTCCAGATTTTACGCCAATTGCTCATAGCCCGTCGGAATGCTACAAATGAGGAAATTTTTTTCAACCGTTTAGGTTTTTTACAAACTTCATGGAATTCCTCACATTAATAAACTTGAACAAATCTAAGGTTCAGGTTTTACATGGATGACAGACGGTGAAGCTTATAAAAGTAGACATTCTGGTGAGCAGTGATAGTTTGTTTGGGTATTACTGTATGACGTATTTAGTAATACTAGTTCTTAGTCAACTGTGATTAATTCCAAAAAAACCAAGTGATAGTAAACTTTGTGTGATAAAGAATTTCAATGGATATTTGGGAGAAATTCGCTTAGTTAGTATCTTCCACTAATATACTCAAAGCAATGAAACTCATAATCTGTGCTTTGTATCAGGGTTTGCCTTTGTTTCATATAAAGCACAGCCTCAGGGTTTTATCCTATGAGGAATTAATTTCATATGAGGAACCAGTGTTTGATTTTATAGCCTTTAGAGGGAATTAAATACTGGTTTGTCTTCATAACATTTTCAACAACAAGCATCGCTATTTATATACATTCGAATACACAATAAGAGTGTCAAAATATTTTATTTTTATTCAAGTGAACAAGTCCTGGGGGTAAATAGAGTTTCACGTTTCATTGTACAAATAACATCTGTTTTGTTTACCCGGAAAATTCTGTCCCACATTTTTTAAAATTTTAATGTTTGTGAACAGCCTTGATATTGGGATTTTATAGATGTCATTGGCAAAATCGAAATTAGCTATTCAAAAGTGCACCTCAGTTTCAAGTTAACTGGCAGCCTTTCATGACATACAAAAAAATCTCCTGAAATAAAGTTCAATTACGACACTAAAAGTAACACCTTTCCATAATTTATAGTAGTTAGCTCAACGGCAGAAGAACGAATATTAACCTCCCAACACCTTGTCTTGACGCGTGTATGCATCAAACAAATTTACGCAAATTCAAGCATAGAGTTTTTCAGTAGTTTTAGTTACCGAACACCTAATTCACTCAAATGAGATATTGGAAAAGGATTTTTGACTCCTCCTGACTATCCAACTTTAATTCAGATTGCAGTGATTAATATCGTCATGCTTTTTGCCTGTTTTCTTCTTCCTTTTTATAGTGGTAAAAGCGGACGATATCCAAGTGTTGCTGAACTTAAATAAAATGTTTTATTTATTCTTTCACTTCAAAAACAATTTTCGTGGGATAAATTTCTGATAACATTTTTATTGTTGGTCGATGCACCTATTGACATAACTTGAAATATATGCTTATCTTTAAATGGATAGTTCTATTTTCTGTACTGTTTCCACTTTCGGGAATAACAAAGTGACTTTTTCACGATGGTTGATTTTGTGTCATTTGGATATAATGAATGAGTGAACACAGAATGTAACAAGGAGAATATCATGAAATCTGAGTTGCACAGCAAAACAGGTGAAAAAATGACTTCGAGCAATGAACTGTTTACATTGTATACAGATGATTATAGAAACATGAATACTGATTAGTGTAGATTGACAGGTTAATCGTGGTCATGGAATTAACATGCAGTTCAAGCAATCGAACTCAACTTGAAAAAAAAGCCGGGTGAAGGGAGATCAGTGGGAATCTAAAGGCAAATATCCTCTTCATAACCCGCATGCTGGATTAATTTAAGTTGTTTTGCAAACTAATCAAAATCGACAAAACTTGGTCAGAGTTCACAGGCGTTTGCTGAGTATAGGAAAACGATATACAAAGAGACAGTTCTGCTAAAAACGAACTATCAATGACTACTGTAAAATTTATTAAACACTTGAAATCTATAGCGATTGCGTTGGTCATGCAAACAACTTTTTCTGAAGTACAATTTACATTACGTATAAATAGTAGTTGAAAATATTCTACTAAACTTTACGGAGAAATTCAGCATTCAGCCTCAGTGGCTGAATGGGTTAACGGGTCAACCATCTCGAAACGTGAAAGTGATGGATTCGTAGTGCTGAAGAGTCCCTAACTAGAACAGAACAGCTTTTCAGTGCCTCCTGATTTTCAGTGGTTCTCTAACTGATGTTAGTCAATTCACGACTCAACCTGAAAGCGATCAAATTTTCGCAGACCAATAATTGAAAATAGAAAAATGGTGATCTAACTAACCACCGGGGGCGGATAAAATACTTTGAAGCGGCCGATCATGAGTTCATTGATGCATAACGCCATGTACAGCTGATTGATTGTGATGAGTAGTTGGATAACACTGTCACGTTCAATGGTAGTCCTTGAGAACCAGATCGAAGTAATTTAAACAACGGACTGTCATCTCACTCGTTCGGAGCTCACATCATCATCATCGGTAGTGTACTCCATCCGACTCAGTGCAGAAAGCCATATCTGTTTGGGTGGTGATCTGAGTAGTTTCTGTTTCTCAAAGTAACTGTTGTAAACTTTCACGACAATCTTTAATACTTGCATGATCTGAAAATCTTTAATTTAATTTTGCTTTTGAGTTTGTTCTAAACCGACAAACTCATCCAAATTTTGTCCTTTTTGACACCATCTTCAAGGCTTTTAGAAACCACCATGGATGAAGTATTCCTTTCTCTTAATGAACCTCTTTGTAATTTAGAGTATGCAATAAGCTTATGCGTTCTTCTTAATAAAGTTACTTTATTATACTATTATTATTAATATTCACTAGAGTTGCTAGTGTAGAAAAGCACTACATCCACATTTTAACATGTTCCCTCCTGCCTTTTTTTGTTGGCTCCACGGTATCTCTTCAAACCACCCCCTCTACATCGCATTTCAACACAAGCTCATGTAGACATTTCCCCTTTCCGGGTTCTACTGAATGCGTGTTATGTCACTCGACGATGGTCTTTTTAACGTGTGTGCAGTCAATCTCCATTTCTTTCCATATATTTGTTGGGCTAAAATTTCCTGTCTGATGTGTTGCCCCTCACAGTTCTTTGTTGCTTACCCTCTCTAACCAACCATTTGGTCTTCAGTATTCACCAGAGACAGGCGTTTATGAAGGCCTGCAGTCTGTTGGAAATGATTTTGGTGGCGCCAAGCGTCAAGTCTTCCAACCACACAGAAGCAGTGACTTCACACTTTAGTGTTACAGACCTCAATCGTGTTCTTCATAGTGAGTGCAGTAAATATCTACATTGATTTTAGATAAATAAAGGACTGCACCTTGCTTTTCTAATGTGATCCTGCCTTTGATATCTTCATCCGTGTCTCCATCTATTTTTCAGTAAACGGTGTTTTCAAACAGGAATTGAATACCCGTGGTACACATCAGAAGTGGGCGTTTGAATTCCGACTCTGGCAGTGAGAGAAGATCAGACTGTTTACAAATTACCTCCTATTAAATGAAACCACTGCGGCAACTTGCCAGCAGTCTGATCTCCCACAACGGTTGTCCTCAAAGATTCACGAAAAGTGTGAAAGGTGTGAAGGCGCAAACATCAATTAAATCACAGTTGGAAAAAAGCTCGTCTTCATTGATCTAGATTTAAAAGGTGACAGCATTGAAGCAAACTAAACATTTGGAAAGAAGGCCCCCTTCCAAGCTCCCGACATACTAGCTTGCCCTAATTAGAAATTCATTTTTTCCCAAATAACTATTTCTACTAAGTGCTCCTCAAACAAGCCTAAGCTGTTCATCTAGACTGTGTTTACACTAGATCATTCTAGTTCCATTGACCAAAGAAGAACCGGTTGATATAGGAGTTTTTTGCACTATGCTCCTTTCAAGTCGTAAGGAAATGAAATACTACAACTTGTTTTGCTCTCCTCGGTAGGAATTATTGCAGGATTCACACTGATATATTTGTCAGGGGTTTGTTTCAATTGCTTTACTTCTATTTTTCATAATGAAGAGCATTACAATATCACTTTCTGGTAACAAATGAGTACTTTCCATTTTTAAATTCTCTAATTTCTAGAAGAGACAGCCACCCTGGATTATAGGAAGCTCCTTAATCTGATGAGTTCTACACTTGCGTTTCCATCACACCTTCTTAATCGGTGTTACATTTTAGAAAAAGATCCATTGTCAGTGCTTGAATTTCTTATCTATTCAACAAATTCTGAAATATCCTTCATCCCGTGTTTCACCAAATTACATGATACTTGGGTTTCGAAATATCTAGCAATTGAGGAGGGGGGAACCATTTCGAAGCATATTTGTCAGGCCACGTAATCCTGGCGTTTTCGTACTAGTAAGCTTGCGTAATTCTCGTACCTTGTTAGATACAACATTGTTGCTTCATCATCCTTAATACTTCTAAATCTTTGCTGCTTGGTCCAGGGAATTTTAGAATATCCATGGTGAAGATGTGTACCGTTCTATTTGTGTAAATATTCCGTCTTATCCATGATTACTACTCAAAAACCATCATTAAGGTTAGCGATTACTGCATGTTTTATTTTACTGCAGATTATGGAAGTCTTTACAATGAATTGTGATCAAAATGTTGCTTGAATTCTTCTGAGCGACCGCAAATTCCTAGCAACAATCAACCAAATTTGACTTAAGTGTTTCTGTGCCCTACTCTGACGAAGGTATCAGTTATTCAGTTTACATAGAGAAGTATTCGAACTGAAGTCGAATGTATGTCATTTCTCATGTAGAGCTGAAGATTCCAGAATCCATGTGAAGAAATCAGTCCTGTTTCATCAGAGGAGAAGCATACAGCCGCTTTCATTATCATGGCCATCACTTCATGCATTTCAAAATCTTTCAACACCGTCTGCAGTTAAAAAATGTTATTGCTTCGATCATTATATTATTTGTTTTTACTCACTTCAAATTGTTTTTGCAGAATCAATTTCATCTTTTAACTGCGCATCACTTAACCCTCTTGGTTTTACGATATTTCTGTATTGTATTCAATTATTCTAGATATTCCCCCTCTTTAACTGTTGCATTAATTTCTTGATTTATATGACATTTGATCTAGTGACACACAAATGGCTATTAAGATATGGGCATGTTTCTTACGGCAGCATGTGTGTCACATTGACTGAAGTTCACTACGAATATGAGTGTCTCTTAGCAGTCACTCCTAAATATTACATATGTGCACTGCACAACTTCCTGTAGACCTTTTTGGAAGTATCATTTTTGGCTCAATGGAAATGCCTAATTTGGGAATTTCGCTACGTTTTGTATCAGTAAATGGTTCCAGTTTCGGGTGTTTTTGGAAACTTTAATTGATGTACTGGTATATTTATTAAAATGAGAATGAGCATATACGCTTTGATTTTTCTCTATCTAACAAATTGTTTTGCATCTTACTTGAAATTCGGCCTTTTTTTAAATAATAATTTCTGACGAATTGGGCGATGATCGTTTAAATTCTTTAATATTACAAAACCTATTGACTCCTCGACCTTTATGTGATATTGATAATGATTCGATAGATGTTCAAATGTTATGTATGCGCACTATTTGCCATATGATTATTGTCACAAACATGAATATTTCGATTTCCCGTCGCAATGGTCCTCATGAATCTGTTTAGTCGCTCAGCCGCCAGGAGTAAATGTCAGCGGACTAACTGGCTATTTCTAAATTTCAACAATGATAAGCTCTGTGCAATATGAACGCCTT